TGCTTTTTGCTTTTTTTCATTAAAAATGCATTTTTCAGACGGTTAGAAAATTGAATAAAAAAAAACTTCGAAAATCATACTAGAAAAATCTTAATATACGATTCGATGCATCTTCATCTCCTCTTTCTACCCGTAAAAACCGCACTTCTCTATCTTGTTTCTATGAAGAGTTATTCAAAAAATACTCACGAGCATTCATGTTACCATCACACATGCGAAAACAACAGGTCTTATCGAAATTTTATAATTATGACATCAGGTGAATAGTGATGAAATAGCATAGAAAAATAGAGCGTCGTTTTGTCTATAACTGCATAAAAAAAGAAAATTTTCTCAAGCTTTCTATAAGGAAATAAAGTGATGGCGTCATTACTTTTGGTATGCCCTACGTATGTTTGTGAATAATTTTTAACTAATTCATATTACTCGAAATACAAAATATATGGAATGTAGATTTGAATATTTGACAACAGGATTACACTTTATTAGTAAACAAAATAGATATTGATAGATTCTAAAATTTCTACAATATTTTAAAATTGATTTTCTAATGTAATTCTGTACTTTCATTATTGGCAAGTAGCTTATTCTTTTATAATGAAAATATATAATCATGCAAATGCTTTCATTTCTTTTCTTTCGCAACATGTTTTGATGTGGAAAGAAAAACGAGATTTAAATCAGTGGGATCATTGAATTTTTTTGTTTTTAACACATCCGTTCTGTTTAACATATATGTTGCGCGACAGGCGACAATCGAGAAAAAAATCGTGTTAAACTTTTTATCTTGTGTACAGTACATTTAAAATGTGCGCGTTAATATATCAAGATGTTTTTTTTTTTTTTTGTCATTAGGTTTTATTAGTTTTACATCTTCATTTTACCGTTACACTTTACCGTTTCTTGTTATTTTTTACATATTACGACAACTACAATAAATACTTATTCAATCAATGGCTACAAGACCCTTGTCAAACATGTCTAAGTTTTTTTCTTATTATATTTTCCTTATTATACATATAGGATGTAGAATAAGCAAAGATCGCAAAATACGGAACACAATAGAAAAAAAGTTAAACGTTGTAGAATATAACAAAAGAATTCCATTTTAGATCATCAGTCCACGTTGATAAAACTTTTTCCCATCTTCTTTGCTAATAAATCAGACAAAAAAACAATCATATGAAGTTTTGTTAGTTTTACCAGAATGATGAAAATATATATATAGGAAAATAAGAAATTATACAAATTTTCCTTATCTGTGAGCAAATTTTACATTTCATTAAGCTTTGGTATACATATTCTGTTGTAATCAAAAGCGAAGGACTAGTAGTGTATTCTTCGAAAAAATGCATATGACGACATGAGAAAACAAGTTGATATGCATAGTAATCAAAAGTATATTCTCAGTCCAATAGCATTCTATCGATTAAAAATAAATCGTTGCAACGTGTATCGAGAACGACACAGTGACATTACTAAGAAATAGACTCTCACTCATGGCATATTCATATCGATCTTGATGAATTTTATAATAGTTTTTTTATTTCTAAAATAGTAACTGAGATTTTGTCATAATCCTTTTTAGTATCATAAATTAGAAAAAAAAATTTACCTGTATGTGTTTTTCTTTTCTAAATAGTTTTCTGTTCCGATATTTGAAAGTTGTATTAAAATAACATTGTTATAACTCAAACAAATTTCTGTCATTCACTTTTTCTCTCCTCTTCCATTTCCGTATAATTATTGTTAAGTTCAGTCGTTCGTTCTTTTCTACACTTTTTTTTTTTCATACTCATGCGCGTATCAAAAACCGACTAGCAATGAATAGTCGAAACGTTAAAAAAAAAGTTGACAATGTCTAATCTCGTTAGATGGATATTTCATGTGTAAAGGAAATGAGCCTTAGGCGATAAAAAGGAAATTTTCAGGAAGGGGCTATAATTCATGCTCTTTATTATCCTATAAATTTTTGTTGTTCTTATTATACAAATCATCTGTCAAACATAATACTCGAAATGCAATTTGTTTGTATAATGGTTTGGGTTATCTGAGACTTTATGAATCGAATGTGTGCGTTTGCCTTAGATAAAAAAACACTACTGATAAAAATGAAGAAAAATAGAGCGATGTTTCCCACTAATCAAGGAAGAATAAGAATAAAAAGACAATATCTTTTTCTGACACTTCTACGACAGATCAATTATTATCATTATTATTATCATTTACCAACTGAAATAGTAGATAACTTTTTCTGTTAAATTATGTAGAAGTTACACAAATTAAAACACTTACGTTTGAAACAAGATTAAAAATTACCACATTCAATGTTATCGGTTGTCAGAATCCATTTATCTAAAGAAATGTGTTTTGACTCATATTTGTGTTGACAAGTAGATTTTATCCTAATTTATGTACTTCTTATACAATTTTATTACAATCTTGATAAGTATATAGTAGTACTATCAATAAACAAAGAATACCATTCCAGGAAAGAATGGAAAAAAAAATAGTGGATCATCCCTGCAAGGCGTGTGGTAAATATAAATAGCATATGATTCTATAAACATATGAAAAAAATGATGTACACGAAGATATTTTTCTAGTCAGTTCAACCCATCATTTTCTACTCATAGAAAAGAAAATGAAAGCGAGAAGAAAGAAAAAAAAGAATCTGATAAACAATTGATAGACATAAAATACATTCTATTGGTATCGGATACATGTTCATTGAGATTTTTTTCTATTCATCGCTACTGTACACAAAAGAAAGTCAATTACGTCCATACAGTATGGAAAAAGAAAATGATTTGAGAGTTACTCTTCTCACAATTCATAGTTACATGATCTGACTTTTCTTTGTTAAGAAGTTTAAAACAGAAAAAAACCGTATCTAGGCATTTTTATCTAATTTCCGTTCATATTCTTTTTTCTAGTTTAAATCTACATGAATAATTTTGTTGAAAGAGTTTCACTCAATAAATAAACGAACAGATTTTTTATGTGTTACTGAAAAACTTCTCTTATCTACAATAGAAAGTAAAAATATGGTTAATTGTCACGTTGATGATCATTTTCATTACCAGTCAAATGTGTATATTTTGCTTCAATGGAATGACATATGAATTCTATTATTCTAGTTACTAGAACAAAACTACAAAAGTATATTTCTCATCCATCCATTTTCATTGTTATGCACGAAATAAATGTATTTTTCGATGACGATCATATCTGACAAGACAATAATTACAGAATACCAATTACTAACGGACACTTTTTGAAATGACAGATGTTAAATAACAGGAATAAATTAAATAATAAAGTTCCGTGCGAAATATAAGAAATGTTGATTTTTGAGTCAACAGTAAGAATATTTATTTTGTCTAACATTCCTGATGAATCCTTATAGTGAGAGTAAATATCTCTGAAAGAAAAATGTGCTTACACAAAAGTTTGTTCAAATTTTCACAAAAATTCATTTGGGTAGTTGATTGGTTGTTGAAAGATTGAGAAATAAGATAAACATAACTTCTCTATGTTCATTATTTCAGGCGTGTTTAAAACATTATAATAATCAAACGGATACGGTTGTCAATGCTTTATTAGAAAATACTGTACCAGAATGGTTAAAAACATCCGCTATTAATAACGAAAAAGGAAAAAATGGTATTGATATTTGGGATGTTAATGATGAAAATTCTACGTTAAAAAATGATCTGTTTTTATCAGAAAAACATAATATTTATAATGGGGATGAATTTGATATATTTGATCAGGATACGAATATTGATTTAGCAAGAATACATCGTGGAAAAAAGTATCTAAAAAGTGTTTTGACTAATGTCAACTTGTTTTTTTTCTAAATATTCAATTTTACTTATAGAGATAAGATTGAAGATCTTGATGATAAAAGTCATTTGGCTGATCAGCGTGAACGATATGCGAGATTAGGAGTTGTTGCCGACTTTGACTAGTAAGTTATTTGTTTTTACGAATTAAAGTAGCTATAATCAACAGTCTTTTATTTAACGTTGTTTTACACTATTTTAGTGGTGAGGAGTATGATGATGAATATGATGATACATATGCAGATGGATTAGTCGAAGTGGATGATACGATTGAAAGCGAATTAAATTTAATGAAAAATGAAAACAAGTTTGTTTTCCTACGTTATTTGAATCGAACTAAATTTTTGTGATATTTTTTTTTACGTTTCAGAGAGAAGGGTATTATGCCAAATAGATTTAGAGCAAACAATAATGAGAGTGAAGATGAAGATGATGAAGTATGTATTGAAAAAAATAACAAACTTATTGTAGATCAGTACGAATGAAATTTTATCTTAAATGAAAAAGAGAGCGAGAGAGAGAAAGAGAGAGATAATCGTTCACAGAAGAGTTTAATATCTCACTGCTCTGTTTAGTCTAAACCTCGACGTGATCAATTTGTCGAAAATCCAGAAGTGGTGCGCGAACGATTTCTTCAACGACAAATGCAATGGCAACAGCGGCATCAACGTCCAGCACAACAGACTCAACAACCAGAACAGTACGATGTTACGGGCACTGCTCGTGGTCGAGGACAATCTTCTACTGTAGTTCATAATCGTCGATGGAAAAATCAAACTAAATCTACACATGGTAACCACAATCGACGCGATCTTGCATCCAGAAAAGTGAATCGAGGTTTATTATCATAAAAATGTGTTCTCTTTTTTGTGTATAATCGACAAAAGATTTCATGGAGTATATTTTTTTGTAGTCCTTGAGACTATTATTTATTAAAAATATAAACCAACTACTTAAAATAATTCAAAAAATTGCTGGAGCCCATCCACGGTGTGTCCTTTTCTTTTATATACCATTAAAAACATAGACAAGCTCAGACGTTTTCGCCATTATGTAGTTCAACTCTTGTACTCTATATGCAATTATCATTAGCTTTTAACTTTATTTTTTTCTTATATGGTTGAAATGTTTCGTTTTTTCATATTACGGAATCCACTGACAAGATGCTTTTTTGAAACCAAAATGCATCTCTATATCTTTTATTCAACGAACCATCGACGTTTTGTAATTAGCCAAAATGGATTTGTGCTTATAATTTAGATCGTCTTTCGTACAGTCTATTCACTAAGTGTTCTATGTTTTAACACTTTATCAATCCTATGAATCTTCGTTCAAGGACTAAGTAGAGTGCAGATAAAAAAAGACATGTTAAAAAAGTGATTAGTAATTGTGAAAATTGTATACTACAAACCTAATAAATTAGGAGATACCTGTGGATGTGGAACATTCCTCACATCAAACTTAGAGAAAGGAGACGTCAGCAACATATGCCACTAAACAACTGGCATGTGCGAAAAGAGATATCCTATTTGTTAGATTCCTGCTGTTTTGTTATATTAGCTTATCTAGTTTTATATAAATTTATCGAGACTCATTGAATTAAGTCTTTTTATCAAATAATCTATATTTATAATACCTAATATAGCATACGTGTACAAAGCAAACCATTTTCTGAATATTTACGTTGACATTTTGGTCTATCTACTCAGGATGATACGACTTAGAAAAGGAAAAATTTTGCTGATGGATTTGCTGGATGTAAATATCTCACTTTTCATGCTGTTTTATCTACGTTCTATTCTCACTCTAAAATCTTAGTGACGAAAAAGAGCAAATATCTAAATTTCACACAGTGTAGGATATCAAACTGGAAACTCTATGGAACGCAAAACTGTAGAATGGATACCCTCAATTCAACGAACTGCAGCTATATCTCAATTTATGATACGTTTTCTCGCGATCGTAGAATTTTGTTCGCTCATTAAATTTTATTTGCTGTACAAGATGCAAACAATGGGAAACGGCACCTGAAACGGCGTATTTAGCAATGTGGTGTGCCTTTTTCGCATGTTTTGCTAAATAATGTTTTAAAACGTTCTCGAGTGAAACAAAGGCAATGAGTACAAGATGACTGACTATGGAATCGGAATCCGCATTGGGTTTTTGGCGGATTCAAGATTTTTTAAGAGAGAAGTGCGATTGCTTGAACTTTTGAGAGTGGAAGCACTAACAATACTTTTTTTCTTCTGAAAATATTTTGGAAGGCGCACTCCCCCTTCCCTTAAACCCATCACTGGTCTTTGGTATAACGAGTTTTCAAAATTTTTCGGTCCTGTGATATATTTACACTTTAGTTCATAGACTATCAGCCAACAATTGTTTTCTTAATTAACGTTCTATAACAATCGATATAAAGCATTCAAACTGCAATGCGTTGAACGAAATGTTTTAGCGTTACTTTTAGTTTGTTAGTATAATCTGGTTATTGTTCATAATTTTGAATTCGTCGTTACTAATAGGAACCAGGACAACATCGTTGGACGTTTATTGCTTTCATACATGAAGCGTCGGTTTTATGAATTGAATTTATTCATATCAAGCTGAAAGTGGCAACTCTACTTTTGTGTTGTGATGCGTAACTACATAACGTGATCGCTAATGAGGGACAACCATAGTAACGGCAAACACTATGCAGATAAACGAAAAAAATGACAGAAATACATGTGCTTGCGGTTTTCTGTGTCCTTCTTAAATAATTAATAAATACTCTGTGTATACTATCCGACTGAGTTATTGTGAGATAATGTCAAAGAAAAAAGAGAGTAACACGTGACTTCGTCAACGCTGTAGTAGTAGCACTGCAGCAGACTTTTTTTATATTTTGAATCTAGTGCGAAGTGCTATCTCAGACATGTTTTACGTTAGTAAAGCCACAAGCACGAGATTCAACATAAAGTAGCTGTTTCACAGACGGATTATCAGAAGAGCAGTTTGTCCCTGAAAAAAATATATTAAGGACAATCAGCAGTTATTGTCCTGTGAGTAATGAATGATATTTCATAAAAGTGTACTTTCCTAAAATTTGGAATAAAAAAGGAATCATTTCTAATTGAAAAATTACGTACATTTCAGCATGTATCGCTCTAAAAAGTTTATTGCCTCCTCTAAAAAATATTTTTTGGCCTGCCCGTGTGTTTCATAAAGATTTTTAAGTCTAATGTAAGTTAAGACAACACCAAGATTTTGACTTACGTTCATCCTAATATAGAACATTTCTTAGTCTAACCATAAACAAAACTTACATTAGATTTAAGTATTGAACTAAAAATATACGTACGTCTTAAAACTTCAAAAAATATCATGATACATCAAGAGGAACTTTAACGGTTAGCATTAGCTTAGAGTGTTTGTTAAGCGTATCTCAGACCAGAAATCCTCTATAGCTGTGGATGCGTATTTAGATTAACAACCGGAACTGTTTGAATAAAAACAAGAATTACTATTTGAATAGTTGTTTTCATTCATTATCGCAAGTATTTATGTAGCAAAAACAGTTTGTTGTTATTTGTGTTGTTATAGTTGTGTAACATGTTTTTATTTTGTTTTCTGGAAGAGAAAAAACACAAACCTATGTCATCCATTATTCTAATTAGAAGTTTGTTTTTCTATAGCAGACACTTTTATGACAAGATAAAACAAAATATTCGAAAGTATTTGTTGATTTTTCGTTCTTCTTGAATCAGCCAAATTTCGAATAGCATATATAGAGCTTCTTCTTCTCTAACAGTGTGAATCGTTTTCAAGAACACTTGCCAATTGTTATCTTCTTGAGTAATGGAAAATTAACAATATCGAAAAAAAATTAACGTCCATTACTGTTCTATACAGGAGCTTGTAATAAGAACAGAAATATAAAGAAAGAGAGAATAGGTGTTTTTATATGTTCTTATGTTCATTTTTAAAATAAATTTTTTTCTCTTTTTGGTGACATTAAAGTCGAATCGAATATATATTTCTAGGTATTCATTCACATCAGTTAAATGTTGTGCAATCTCTTTTACAGCACACAAAAAAAATCGAAACGAAATAAAACGAAAAATGATTTCTTTTCTTCTTGTTTGTTTTATTAGATGGCACATCTAAGGATGTCCACATCTTCTCCAATCGACAATGATGGACAACAGGTTCATTATTTAAATTTGTGTTGGTGGTGGCCGTGGTGGTTAAAAACAAAACGATTTGAAAAACTGAAGCAATTCAATTGTGGCAACCGGAAATATTCAACAACAAAAAGTCAAAGTAAATATGAAACAGTTAAAAAAGAAATATGTGAAGAAAAGAACATACAAAAAAAAACAACAACAAATCAGAGGAAAATTTTATTTCATTTGATCATCGTCTATTTGTAATCCATCTCACATTTACAATGTTGTTTGATTGGCAATAATGTAGCTCTGAAACATACATAGCAAATAAAAGATCAAAATATGCTAAAACGAAAATTCCACCGTTAACCTTCGTGCGTAGAAAGTATTAGCATCATTTTCATTCTGACTTATATCTGAACCTAAACATTATGAGAAAATGAGTGTTTTTAATTCAGTGAACACTACTTTATAAATGACAATTGAAATAGATGACATGAAGAGATATCATTCTAATAATGAGATTGTGTTGCTACTGATGTTCTTAAGTCTAAAATCAGTTGGCATCATTATTGAGAGTTTAGACTAATTCTTATTGCATTTCCATCCATGTGAACATTTGTGTTTGAAAAACAAAACGTTTAAATGCGTCTAGATGTTTCATTCTGGACGTGTTCAAACGCGTCTACTAGCAACGGTAAATACGTTTGAAACATATAAAATTTTTATATAGACATATGTACTACGTTATGTGGTGTTAGAGCTCATACGAAATTTTCAGAGATTATTCTCATAATTAGCTAGAATTTAAGAGATAAATATTTTGTAAGTTTCAAAGTTTTTACCTGATAGAAACTATTAAAAAATTGTGCATATTTTTTTCAGATTAAAGTTTATTCATCTTGTGTAAAATCATAATGTACAGTTCTTTCTTAGTACGTTTTTTTTTTTTTTATTTAATGAACAAACAAATAGATGTATAGAGGTACAAGGTGAACTAGATTTTTTTTTCATTGACGTATAAATAGAGAGTAGCATAAATAAAAATCACCAGAGATATTTGTTCACGTACTCACATCCTCTCGTTAAATTCTTTTTTTTTGAATGATCACTTATACCGCGTTTTTTCTGGATATTACGTTCTGATATAACAACTTTTACAGAAAAAGAACAAAAAAACTTTTATTCATTCTATCGTGTGTACATATATTTTAAAGTTGAATGATCATAATAGGTTCTCTATTGTGTTTACATATTTTGTATATCGATCGATCGACACTTTCATTCAATTTCAAAAACTCAAACTGTATTTTCTTTTATTTATGTGATGTTTATTTGTGACTAATAACGTTTACAGGTCTGATAATTTTAAAAACTTTATCCATTTTCAATAGTGATACATGATCAAAAAAAAAAATCGACTAATATCTATAAAAGCGATTATTAAAGTGACCTCAAGTGTGGGACACTCTAAACGTTAGGGTGTCCACCGTCGATTCCGCTTTTTATTGACCAAAGTAAGAAATAGATCTTAATCACAAAAAAAAGATGAAAAATTAGCTATCCATACATAGAACTATCAGTCAAGTTTTTCCCGTTTGTTTTCAGCGTGAACACAGCGGGTTTAGTGTCGAGAAACTGAATGATAAGTGAAGTATATGAAGAAGAAAGTTTTGATTTGGATAAATTTTTAGTTTGTACGTCTCCTGCTAGGTGTAAAAACGAAGAATATCGTCAAAAAATACAACTTCCTAAGTCAAGAAACTACAAGAAAGAATAAGAAAGTACGATATTTTTTGCGAAGTTCTATAAAGCGCTTCTTGCATTTGTTATGGTTCTTATACATGTTGCATTAAGCAGTACAAAAACAAAAGTACCATTTTCTTAAGTTTTTTTTGCTCAAGGTCTTAACAAAAGTAGGCTTAAATGATTGACATTTGTGAAAGAAATGTTTCATTTAGAGGATGATCGAGTACTATTAAATTACATTGAAAAATCAAGTATGATAAAATCAAGCATGAAGCACGAGAAAAGAAGCTCTTGGTTTGAGTTTACTATTTTTTACAGATATTCGTAAAACTTAGGGTATCCTTAAAACCCAAAAGTCACCTAGCATGTGATAGATCTTCGAAAAATCCTTGACTTAACACGAAAATGAAGGTATCTCGATGAAATTAGGAGTAGTATAATGTATTCATTTTTTATGATTAACGCTATTTAATAAAGACTATTAATTGATAGACTCTAATTTTTCCTTTTTAGGCGTGAATTCAGTTGAATGTATTCACAAGCAAGAAGAAAAAAGCGATCAGAGAGCATGGAAGTTCAAACGGCAGCTGATGAAGAGGATGATAACAACAGTAAAGATAACGCTGATGGTAGTAGACCAAAAACACGACGTGCCGAACGTTCGAATCTTGCCAGTTTGGCCTGTAAGGTTTCATCAAATATACAAAACTTATAATTTTTTTCACCTTTTTTTTTACTATTTCAGCTCCTGTCTCCGAATCATATCAGCGAAGTCAGGCAGTACATGTAGCTAATCTACTTCATGAGGCAGGTCTCACAGATGTTTTACATTCAGACTGGTCAGAACAAATTAAATATTTTTTATCTGAACGTTCATATTTGATTCATCAAGTAAGTCGCTAATAATTGTTGGTTCGGTACTATTGTTTTGTTCCATTTTTTTTAGATTGAAATTATTCGTAGCCAATATGGAATTATTAAAAAACGTTTAGATGAATCTGAGACGGAAAATGAAAAACTTTTAACAGAAAATCGAATATTATCAAAAGAAGTTCTCTTATACCGAAATCTTATTAATGCTCCACCATCGGCTGATGGTAATTCCAAAGATTATACACAGTTGAGATCAAAAATCGATCAAGTTCTTCTAGAAAATGCACGATTATATCAAGAAATAAATGCATTTAAAACAAGTGATCCCGTTTACGAACAAGTGCAAATATTAGAAGAACAAAAGAAACAATTAGAAAAAGATTTTAATCGTTTAAAAGCACAATTAAAATTGAACGAATCCTCGGTAATAACGTCGATATCAGACACGACAAACGTATCACCTAAACGTAATAAAATTGATGAACAACAACGACAACAAATCACTCGTCTACAAACAGAAAATCATACACTAAATTCAAAATTGAATAGCGCCACAGATGAGTGTGAACAATTACGTTTATTAAATAAAAAATTAATATCAGACATTGAACAACTTAGACAGGTAAGATATATATATAGTTTGCGATTGTATTATTTAAAAAACTCCGATCTGTGGCAGTTTTTTTACAAAATTTTTAGCTTGAAAAAACAAAAATCTTGCTACACTATAATCTAATGTTCTCATCTCCTCCTGAGAATACTGCAGCATCAGGATCTGATGATCTCCTTTTTTTATCGAAAATGTTTTTGTTCAACATTGTTTTAAAAAAGTATTTTTCTGCCTCCCGTATTTTGTTTAGGTATTTTATGTTGTGAGCAAAATTAGAATTTACGTAAAAAACAAAGACTTTTTAATTACCATTCAAATTTTATTCAAAATAAGAAAGAGTATTGTCGATTTTCGTAATATATGTGCTATATCCGAAAACTACTTTTTTTAATATTATAAATTTTTGTACCTGTTATCTATTTGACGACAATCGGTCATTCTTTCATCCAACAGAGACTAGTTGTATAATTAAGGTTTATAAACAAAAGAAATTTTATTTAACATGACAGAGAAAACATCCGCTGTGTAGTGTTTCCTTCATTAGTATATTACACTTCCTGCTTTTGTAGAATATTTATATTAAACGCCTTCCCTTCAATCTTGATTTCTTTGGTTCCATTTAATTTTAAAAATAAGAAAATAAGATTTATGAAAGAGGTGGTTATTCATAACAAAAAACTAAGTTGAAAGATCGTATAAGATTTTACGTTTTTTTGTAAAATCTTACGTAGTCTTGAATTACGCTCTTACAAGTCTTAAATAAACAGATTCTTTTACCTAGAACAAACAGACTGATTTTTACAAATCGCATTGGTTACAAGTCGAGTTGATTATGCGCATCTGTCGAAGCAGACGATTTTTTCGATTTCAAGTTTTCTTAAATTGTCTTGGAATTGTGGAATGTTTTTAGAAAATATGGGTTCCATGCATGGATATTGAATTAGACCACTAATACATTGATGGTGAACATACAAATAGAGCGGAGAAAAGTCGAGAGATAATCTCTACTATTATATTCTCTCTCCTCCTGCTGATTCACTAAAGAAAGTCTATTTCTTTTCTATTTTTTGTTGCTTTCTGGCTGAGGTCATTGATTAAATGTTTTTTATTATAAAAGTTTAAAAGCCGAATAATAATTCTAAAATCATCAGAATATTCGGTTCTGAAACAACAAAAATATGACAATGATTTCTGATAGAAAAAGAAATTCATTGAATGTACTGAGTACAAGATATTTAAGTAAGGTACCTTGCTATCGATAAGACTACAAGTACCCGAGCAATTTTTGAATAATTGAGTACTTTAAGGTACTTGTTCAAGTGCCCTGGTCAAAGATATTTCGATATTTGACTACCTAAATACCCTCGGAACATTTAAACAGACTATCTGCCAGTGGTCACTCTGGTATTTTTGTGAAGCAGCCAACTCGATCTGATGGATGACCAAAGAGTCATCTGCGTGTTAACAAAAAGAACTTCATTATTTCCCAAAAATAAATGGTATTTATATAGGGCTCCCATTTAAATGCTAAGTAATTTTTATTAAACGCTAAGTAAAAAGTTATTTTTTTCTAAGTAATTTATTAAAAATAATTATACTTTTTACAGAAATATGGTTTAGTGGCTCACTCTCATGCTCTCCACGTACCTTCCTCACAACCGCCCCTAAGCACACAAAAATAATTAAATATGTAATTAAAATGATAGGATTTGATTGAGTGCGTTTGCCGAGAATTAAAAATGCACAGGTTGAGCAAATTTTCTACCAGGAAAGATAAACTGGTTGACTATACTGACCAAAACTTACCAGAATGTTCTTTTATACACCCCGCATCTACGATGAATGCGGTAAAATGCGGTTTTGTTCCTAGACTTCGGTAAGGAGTTTCCAAATTCTCCTGATTTTCCAAGTAAAATCCGTTTTTTTCGACTCCGAAACGTTTTCAATAAAACAAATAAGGTGACATTCTGAATCAGCGTACAAAACTGCATTGATGATAAAGTTCTCAAACACTTTCTGAGATACCAGTCAAAAAACTTAACCTGATGAACGTTATAGAACCAATGCTGCTCACTCTCATGTATTTTTGATCAAAAACTAAAAGTTTTCGGAATAAAATTCTTTCTTGTGAGAATACTATTTTCAGGTATAGAGAACAGAGTCGTTCTTAGTCAAAAGCAATGGTAAAAAACTTGATGCCCGGTTCCCTAGTAAAGAATGCTCACTTAAGGGGAAGAACGATAGACGTCAAGGATTTCAGATGAAAACTTCCTGCAACAAAGTGAGAGCTAAGACGTTTCTTATAAAAAAACAATTGTTTCCACTATGATGGAAAAATAATTAGTGACACTGCGTTTATGCATGCGTCGAACTCGAACTTGAGTGATAAGTTCAAAAAGTTCCTCGGTGTGGCACTACAAAAGTATTTTATATCAGTAGTTCAGGGAGTTTAAAATTTATGAGCTATTGAAATGCGTTCACATTTAGTCGAAGAAAAACTCTATAAAAGACATACAGTATTAGTCTAGTTTCTTATTTTTATAAGAAAGTTTTGCTGTTATCTATTTATGAATTCAAATCATTTTTTGTTGTTGTTTTTTAATTTTATCCGTGAAATGAGTAAGTGGGTGTTTGAAACACACTTTTATACATGTCTATGCACATGTATACAAATATTGCTTAATATACATTATGAGAAACAGAACAACAAAAGAAAGACATTCGCACACTTAAACTAAAAATTAACTGAGCATTTATTCTTTTGCAGGTACGTTCGCCGACTATTCTTTCGGCAACTAAAAATACTAATTATTTGTCAACTATTATTGATAGTTCTACTACAACTACTAATCGTGATCATAAAGCAAAATCAAAATCTCGGGCACATCGTTATACAACTGAAATAGTACCATTGACACAGTCAAATTTGAAATATTTCGATTCATCATCAAGAAAAAGCCTTACATCACCAATATCACAACGAACAACACCTGATCATGAAATTGTTGAATTACGTGAACATGTACGCCGTCTGGAGAATACATTACATCAACGAGAAATTGAATTAGGTAAACTTCAGCAAGAAATAGAAAAAGGAACAAGTTCAATTATGAGTTCGATTGAGGATTTATTTCTTATATCTACTCCACCACCGTCTACTCAACAATCACCATCAAAAGGATCAACATCACACGATAAAGAACTTGTTTTACCATTACCACGCTCAACTGTTGTTAATACGTTGAGTTCATCATTAGTTGTATCAACAACAGATGAAATTGAACGATTGCAAACGGAACTAGATCAATTACATGATAAATTAGATGATATAAGTCGAGAAAATCAATTATTAAGAGATCGAGTACAAGATTGTGAAACAGTAGAAGAAGAAAATGTGTTTTTATATGCTAAAAAGCAAAAATTAGACGATGAAATTGAACGTGGTAGAATGAGAGAATTGTTAATTGAACAAGAATTAAAATTATTACAAGATAAACTAAAAGGAGCAGAAGGTAATCGTGATAATAAAGGTGGACAATCAACAATAATGGATACTAGTCAAACAATAGGAAATATTTCAAATATGAAATTAAAAATAGATCGATTACATCGAGTAAATAATCAATTAGAATTAGAAGTTATTGGTCTCAGAGATGAACTTCAATTAACAAATAATAAATATGAGCAATGTAAACGTGAATTATATCAAAAAGATGAACATTATAAAAAATTATTAGCAATCATTGAAGATAATCAACGTTTTCCACAGGTATATTCTACTATTGTATTTAGTCACTTATTGTATAAATAAGTATTAACAACGGCTATTACTAATAAGAATTTTTCAGTGAATATCTCATATACAGTAGTGATTTAGTACTTTGTTATTTAGAAAATCGACTATTGAATACATTTGTTATTTCTTATTCATCTATCTATAATAATAATGTTATAAGGTTTACTTCTCAAATGTATGTGCAAAGGCTATTTTAATATGTTGACAAATTTGACCTTGAAAATGTTTGTTTTATTTGATTTTTAATTTTAATTGACCATGAACAAAGTGTGTGTGTATTTATTTTCCATCATCATCATCAATGTTGAAACCATATAAATGAATTTTTTTCTTTTTCACTCAGGAATTACCTCGATTAGAAAAATTGAATGTTGAACTCGAAAATCAATTAGAAAATCAGAAAAAAGAGTATGATATTAAAATTCATGATTTACAAGAACGTAATGAAAAACGTGAACAAAAATACAGTGTAAGTTAATAAAATCAGTTTCATAGTTATCGATAAATATTATTTTTTTTTTTTCATTATTTTTTGATATGTAGTCACTATATGAATCTATTCTCAAATTACAATCGGATTATCGTCAAAAAGAAATTGATTATGTGAATACAATGGATGATGTTATACGTCAACGAGAAGAACTTCGTTTACAAATAAATCAGTTGAAACAACAGTATGAACAATTACAACATGAATATCAAATATTAAAAGGAGAGGTAATTTAATATAAATATCGTTTCAATTTATTAAAAAATCACGTTTTTATTTTTTAATAGCTTGAATCTAAAGAAGAAATTAATAGAGATTTAAAATTAGCATTAACATCATCAACAAACGATACACAATCAATTTATACACAATTGAGACATTTAAATACAAGTTTATCTGATTTACAAATTAAATACAATAGAGATATGAAAGATCGAAATGATCAAATTGATCAATGGAAAATTGAAAATAAAAATTTAATGGTAAGATGATATGAGAGAATCTTTGTCTATAGAATTAATTATTGAATTCTACTCTCAACATATGTCTTATCATTATTTTTAATTTTTATAATATTTGATTCTGATGATTTTATCTTATATAGACAACACATGAAATCGAATTAGTTCAAGCTCGTCAAACAATTGCCCAATTACAACAAAACAATATTCAAATAGATAATTTAAGATCAACAATTGATAAATTACAATTAGAAATTGCTGAGAAACAAGGTGTAAGTGAAAAAAATTCTTTTATATTAATTTTTATTTTTATTATTGTTTTTTAGTATATTGAACATATTCAAAATGATCTTAGTGAACGTTCCGTGATACACACAAATAGAAATACTCAATTATCTCAGGAAAATAAGGTAATATTCGTTTTCTTTTCTTTCTTTTTAATGTTTGAATGAAATAACAATGTGTTATTGTTTTTTTTTTCTTCTTCTGCACTTATTTGTAGAATCGTGCAATAAAAATAATAGAATTAGAACAATCACTTTCACATGAACAACAACGAGTATGTGGCATATAATTAAACAGGTTAAATATCATCATTATTATCATAAATAATTCTATAATTTTTAGCGTACAGATATACAACGATCACTACAAGAAGTACAATTAGATTTATTAAAAGCAAAAGCATCAGCGAAAGAAGCAAATGAAAAAAATATTGAATTAGAAAAACGTGTAAAATATCGTTTTTTTAAATTAAATAATCTATATGTTCTACTATTTAATTTAAAAATTTAATTTTAGCTTCGTGAAGCAGACAAACGTTTTGAAGAAAGTTTACGATCACAATTAATTGAATGTACAGAACCATCACGTCGAGAATTAAGTTCAATTCGAGTTGAATTAATAGCAAAATCTGAACAATTAACAGTCGCTCAACAGGCATTGGATGAAGAAAAATTAAGACGGTATGATTCTAATTATTCAAGTCACATACGAAAAAATAAATTCTAATTTGTTAATTTTTATTTTTTATTTATATATTTAATTAGACAACGTATAGAAATGAAATTAAAACGTTTGAAAGATGAATATATTGTATTACGAAAAGAGTTACATCAACGATCGGAAGAAAATGATATATTACAACATGAACTAGTTGAACGTCAATTTAAAAATGATTATAATATGCACGTAACAAATCAAACAACAACCACACTTCGATCGGTTAGTAATATTAACTCTTTAAAGCCGAATGTCCATTCAAATGGATATTAGCATTATCATTATAAAAAATTGAGGAAGTATTGTTTGAAAAAACTAATCTTATATCGATTGTAGAGAATTAAATTGGCTATCGAATGGTAAAAGAAATATTTTATTTATGTTTTATGCTAGCTGAGATATTTTAAATCTTAAAATGAAGAATATTTCAAAAAAATTTAGTTTTTTTAGGTAGGAAAAGCTTTTTATTCCACAACTTTAAAAAAAAAATGTAAACTACGGAAGGTGTGCTCTTTCAAATTATATCAGCTGAAGTAATTATTGTTTAAACTGTAGGCTGCTGATGGTACAAAACGAAAGATCATATTTTTCTAGGATTTTGGATATTTGCTCGTCCTCTTGGTCATTCTTGATTTTCTTTACCATCTGAGCTCATTTTCTGTCTCAATTTCCTCAAACTTAATGGTCTAAGCTCAGATATATTTGGTCTTTGGTTTCTAACGAGAATTTTGAAAAATTATTTTTTTCAAATTTTGATTTTAAATTTAAATTATAAAAACTTAACTTTTTTAAAAATGAAAAATTATTTTTTTGGAACATGAGAAAGTTATATCGAGGTCTCAGATGTTCCATTTTCGTAAGCGATTGACCCAAAACCAAGCATTAAAGTCTATCTTTTCTATAGTTAAAAGTTTAAAATTATTTTAATATTTTAGAATGAAAGTGATCAACAACCAGCTACAACGGCTGTTCAGTTGTATTTGAAAGAAAAAGCCGATAATCAACACTGGCAATTGAAATGTCGTACATATCAACAAAAATTAGAACATTTACAAAAAAATTACGAATTAGCCAAACAGAGATATAAACAACGTTTACAAGAAGAACGGTTCGTATTTATAGAGCTATAGTATTGTTTGTAGAAGAAAAATATTTTCTGTACCAATAGTTAATTGTTTATGTGTGAGAAACATTGTCTATTTAGTGATTCATTTGATCGTGCAAAATCAAAGTATATGGAACATGTACGCAATGCTCAACGTGATTTACATGATACTCGTAGTTTACTTGAAAAAGAGGCTGAATGTAAATTGAATCAAGAACAATCTTATCAACAATTAATTGATGAACGAAGACAACTATTAACAAGGTATACGTTAATATGAATCATCGCAATTTACAATTATTAGTATAAAAATAAAAATAAAAATATATCAATTTAAATAGAATATAGTTGTTGTTCACAACCGTGACAAATACGTAGGGCCTTTAAAAAATTCTCGGACTGATTTTATTTTAAAAAAGTAAAAGATTTTACAGTATTGAACTTGTTGCCTGTTTATAGGTCATACAGTCCTCTATCAATAGACATTATGAGCATTGATCGATCAATCACTTTTTTGCTAGAATAACTTTTTTGTAGATCACATTGGAGCAAGTGCTATAGATTAAATAACACGCAGTATTTTGTTCATAATTTTTTTCTTCAAGAATCAATTTTTTCTTGCAAAAGATGCGTCCTGAAATTCTCTACAAAAAACATATTGAGCGTTTTGTTACAAAATGAATGCTACGAATAATAGTGAGAAGATCTAAAATGGATGTATCTTCAAGAATTTCAAGATGTATCTTTTGCAAAAAAAGATTGATTCTTGGCATCACAAGGCTTTTTTTTTTTTTTAAAAAAGAATCAGTCCGGTAACTTTCTGAACACCCTACGTATCATACGCATCATCTTCCTCATTCATTATTACGGGTGGTATGTTACTGTTACTCATACGTTACTTCAACTGAAGAACATAACAAAGAATATTATACTGTTTCTAGCAACAGGTAACAGTTTAATATTACTAGTACTGAGTAACAGTAATGTGCCAGTCTGATACTAGGTTTGGTCAGAAAACAAATCATATTCTTGAACTCAAGTGGACTTTATCCGGACGGATATTATTTTAGGATAAATCTGCAATAAATCTAAACATATTTTTTTAAAATGAGAAATATTTAAGTGTAACTTTCATGTTGTAAGTACCAGAGATATGTCATTTACTACTGTTTCTACTACTCTATCGCTACTGTGAACAGTAACAGTAATGTGTCATTTCTATTCACTTAATTAATTAATCATTTTAAAGATAATACGACTAGTACTACTGTTCCTCTATCTATCTCCATTTCAAACAGGTGTCTGTTTGATTGAAAAGCAGAGTAAATCGGTGCATACTTGTAGACACTTTCGTAGTGGTACAAGAAAATGTCCATACTTCAACTAACAGCAGGTTTTTATAGCATCATACAATTAATAGTGTTATTAAAGAAGAATGTTAAAGAAAAAAATAATTTGAAATTATAACCTCTTCAGACACTCTCATCATAAAGAACAAAGTCCTAAGAAAGAATAGATTTATTTTCTAATAGATGACTGACACGCAAGTATAACGGTACACTACGTTTTGTTTTGTTTATATCTTTATTGATTCTTTTTAAATACACTAAGTTAATTGGTATACATTTTTCATTTTATCCTAGTATGGTTGATAAAGATGCAAAAGTACGTGAAATGCGTCGAGAAAATCTATTATTAACATCAAAAATACAATTACTCGAAGATCAAATGGAAAATTTAAATGATCGTGTTGATCGTACGCTAAGAGAACGAAATCAATTGCGCCGTGAAATTGCCAGTGTCCGATTTGATAGTAATCTTTCTATAGAGGTATAAAAATAGAAATTTTGGCAATAGTTCTCACTTTTATATATAATGAAATATTTGCATGTTTTTTAGACAAGTTCTCGATCATCTCCCGTAACTATTACAAGTGGTCCATCACGTACAACTACCACACATATTGAAACATCACCATCAGGTTGGCATAATCCCGTTCATTATACAGAATCATTTGGTTTCAACGGATTTAATGAGACTAATCCTTTTAGTACAACAACTACAAATGTATCTACATGACATACAGTCAAGATAATTCATAATATTATTTTATGAATTACTTATATTCTTCTTCTATATATTTTTCTATCTGTCGAACACTATTTAATTGTCTAATTTAATTGGACATTTTCACTTACACTTAGGAGAATTGATGTTTAAAACATGTATTTATTCACAGTAATTAAGACATCGATTTTTCTCAGGTTTACGTTTTTTTTTTTGTGTTTTTAGTTCTCACTCAAAACAATGACAAACTTTTTTATTTTTTTTTTCTTCTATATGATACTCAGACTTGAAATACTAGTGTCAACTATTAATAATAGCATTATTTTACGTGTTTGTGTGTTAAGTAGAATAGTTTTTGTTTTTATTTTTATTTTTGTTTTATTTTTATTTTTTATTACCATTCTTAATAATGTCAGATATCAAAATTGTTTTTGTTTTTAAAAAAAAGAAGAGAGTATGGTAAATAGAAGTTTTGAGTACTTCTACAGTATAGTATAACGTTGTCGGTTTCATTACTCAATTTTTTTTTTATAAACATTTTCAAGTGAATAAAAATATGAAACACAATATATTTTCATTTTTATATTTCTCGCCTAAAAATCTTCAAATTGTTATTTATACGATATTTAATTAATGATTCTGATACTTCTGTAATTTTTTCAGTTCGAAAAAAAAACAATCGAATTTATGCTCTCAAGATAGTACTGGACCATAGTCGAACTGAATTTTTTTATTATACACGGATGACCAGTCAATCTTTCTAAATAAGACATGTAATCTAATATTTTCAACATTACATCTCCGTCATCTGTACGTATGCATCTGATCTAATTGCTTTTTTATAATCTTTTAATTCAATCACGTAGTTCTCCCTGAAATGTTTCGAATATTTTTATTGATACTTCAATAGTAAATCATATAATTTTAAAGAATTTGACAGCAAAGAATGATAAAAATCTGAGCTATAAGATGGATTGGATGGATTAAGAATGAGAACCTCCTATATTTATCGTACACACTTGTGTCATTGAAAAAAAATTCAGAATATCGTCTAGAAGAGAAACACTACGGATGGATAGTAAATAGAGTTTAAGGTGGTAAACCGTCTAGAATGCGTATTAGTCCATTGTTTTAACGAAGCTTTTTTGAAACAAGATTTCCGAAACCTAACATTATGCTTTCAGGCACAAAAAAAATGATTAAATATCTTTAATACCACATATTCATTACTCGTAGCGTCTTTATTATTATCTGTACCACCGAATAATAAGTATCTCAGAAAAATCTGCATAAAATTTGAATCCGATCTGGAATAGAAGCTTTACATTACTGCAGCTTAGATTTACTACAGCTTTAGATTTACTGCAAAATATAGACAAGATTCGTCGCAGAAATGTCTTTAGAATCAGCTCAAAATCCGATAGATCTGTCGCTGATTATTATTAAAATATCAGCAGATAGTGCATAGATTTCTTGCAGAGTGTGAAAAATTTCTCAAGATAATTTTACATTTATAAATATTTCTCGATATATATTTAACAAACAACTTCGTTGCATATATGCTGTATGCAGATCTATTACAGAAATCTGTAGACACTGCTTACTTAGAATGCTTTTTCTTTGATAAATTTTAGTAAGCCTGTAAACTGACGGTATATCATGTTTTTAAGAAATGATTCCATATTGAATGTAGCAAAAGGATCACTACATATTTGAAATCAGTGAATTTAGTATAGACAGTAGACATCAATTAAATCTCCACGGTTTTTGACTAAAAATCGACTTGAATTAGTTACTCACCAAAATAGTGTTTATATTAATAGTGGTCTTCTATTATGGGGTGGGGTACACGAAGTATTTCCCCTTCATCAATATAATCTGATACTTGTAAGCGAACGATATGTTTTTTATCAAGACGTTTCAAAAAAGCTTCGTATCTATGTAAAGGAAACACCGTACTGAATCATAATTAATGCTATTGTTTAATAGTACTGAATGATTTATTACACATACGATACAAAATCTCAAAGTTTTCCTTTGCTATCCAATCTTTCTCTCGACTATTATAGACATACTCAACTTCTTTTTATAATATCCTTTTCCATTGCGTTGTCGATATTTCTTGGAGAGACGTCGTTCTACTATCCTACACTCTAAAGAAAAAATGTATTTTTCAAAATGAAAAAGAGTTTTTGCATTTGCAACTGTCGAATATAGCTTTTTCGCTTTGGTTTTCAATAACACAGTTCAAACAGGAAATTACTAGACGAATGGTGACTTATCGTTCAATTCGTTATGTCCTGTTTGAACTTGATTGCTAGAATAGAAATGTGCAACCCGATCCATACCCGACTCCACCCGAAGATTGGATACGGATACGAAGTTGTCGGTACGAATCGAGTACGGGTTCCGTTTTTTTAAATTTACTCACAATCCGAAAGGTTTTAATGGAAAACCAAAAAAGTTTAGTGAAAAAAGTCAAGATTTTAGCTAAAATGCATTAAGTCTCAAAAGAGTTACTTGAGAACATAATGATAACTTGACATCTAAAAACAAAAGTTTTTAGCTGGAAACCGAAAAGGTGAAAAATTTTAGGCACAAGTCGGGTACAGATGGAAAAAGAAATTTTAGGTCGGGTATGGGTCGGAAAACGGTACTTGTGCACATCTCTGTACTAGAACGTAAAAGCCCATCTTCATTCTGTACCATACAGGATTTTTTTTGTCATACACCGTTGCTCAAAGATGTTCGGATGAAGAAAATGATCGAAAAGCACAAACTAAAAATTGTCTAATCTTTAAATCTCAAAACTTTTTAAGTTTAGAATTTCTTCCAAATCACCATAAACTTTAGATATCGAGATTTTTATTATATAGTTCTCAGATGAGCATCTTCGACAATGTTTCACTTCTTAACATACCACTTCGATATATGATTTCTTTCAGATTACTCTGATTATTGATTGTTGAAGATGAATCCATCACTCGTATCACTAGCAAAAGAATTAAGTCGAATATCACCCGATTTATTACCAGAAAAATTTTTGTCATTAGAGAGTAAGATCGTTGTTATTGACTTTATCTAGATTTAATCCTATTTAAGTTTAGACTTGTTACAAAAGTCAAATGAACAAATTCAAAACGATCTCAAACAGGAAATAATTTCACTTGAAATCCTTCCCGTATTATTACTTACTCTTCGTCAAGATTTTACAAGAATCTCAGATGGATGGCGCTTAGCATCAATGAATTTGTGCAATTTAGCACGGTGAATAATCTCAATAAAAGCATAAGAATGTACTCATGTACTTTTTATGTTTAGCTCTTGTATGTGCGTTGACATGGGATCATCAAAAAACAAAAAACAAAATCGTAATGAAAATTCATTATTCTATAACAAATATATTCCACAAGGCATCGACAGCTTTCTTTTACTTGCTCGACATCTACAAGATAGATTATATCAAGAAAGAAAAGTATACACCGTTTAACTTGAATAAATTCTTCTACTTTCAAAAAAATAACAAAATGGTTTATTTTTCTATTAGGCTGATATGAAAAACACTTATCTTGTTTATATACGATCTGTTTTAAATAATCTACTCGAACTGTTGGCTTATCATTCTAATTTACCATTAATTAAACAAGGTAGGTAAATGAGTTCTACTTTATTAGCTCATTAAAAGCTACTATTTTTTACAACAGTTTTAACATCAACAAAATTTATGGAATTATTTTTAACCGATGAGGTAAATACCTGCGCTCTAATGTTGAATGTTTTTGAAGATCTTATACGTAAAAGCAGGTTAGATAAATAGTGAAATTATTAAAATTAGATTTTCTGATATATTTTTGTTGTTCTAGAAAAATAAATGGAACAAGTGTATTTGGTGAATTAAGTCCCAAACTTAAACAGGATTATGTTAATGAAATGGCTTATAAATTAACAGTATTTGATAACAATGATATTGGTCGGTAAGTATAACAACTGAATTATTTGTTTGAATAAATAAATTATTATTAGAATTTTAGAGCAGCAATTCGAACATTATTAATCGTATGTGAAACGGATTCAACTGTTGTTTCAATATTAGCTGAAAAATTCAAGTAAACAAAAAAAGATTTATAGTGTAAAAATCGAACAAAATTTAATTACAATTTAATTTTAGAGGACTGCCAACTGCTTTACAACGATGGCAAGGACGCGGATTTGGAATGGATCTTCAAGATTTATTGGCCATGCTTAGAAAACGTGGTACACCATACTCAAAAGACACACAAGTAAGCCTTTTAGTTAGTGCCTAATACTCTAATAAGTTACAGTCGATTTTCTATCATATCTAACATACTTCAACATCATTTTAGAGGAGTGATTATGCAGCTACACGTATTCAAGCTCTTTGGCGTGGATATCTTGTACGAAAAAAGTTAACCAAAGCAAGCAAATCATTTCGAAATTTTCATATGAGCTTTAGGTACGCAGAGAAGACCGACAAGCGTCAGATATTTATCAGAATTTGACAGACAGAGAATGTTGCTAATTCATTTGAGTTTTGTTTAGAAAACGCAAGATGCGTGAAGCACAGGCCAAAGAACAAGAACGATATAGAGCAGAAGTTCAATATCAAGCTGTTCGTGATCATTTTAGACGGCTACGAGCTTTTAAATTACAACAAATGAAAGTAATTCAATTATTACCAGCATGTAAGAAGATGCAACTAAACTTCACTCATTTTTATACGAACATTTGTGAATCAAACAAATTTTTACTCTCAAACATGAACCTTTATTCTAATTTAGCTGAAGTAGAAAAATATCTTGAAACGTCTCGTCTCCAGAGTGCTACAAAAATTCAAGCGTTTGTACGCGGAAATTTACAACGAAAAAAATTTAATCAAACAGGTCATCGACAACTAGTTCGTGAACGAGCTGCACGATTAATTCAACGTTATTATCGTCAATACCAACAACGACAACAATATGAGTTAGATAAAAGAATGCAACGTTTAGAATTTATTAAACCAACTATTCTAACCGAAGCGAAACGTGAAGAATTATTAGAACAAATTGAACAATGGAGACATGAACGTGCAGTAAGTTTCGCACTAGAGCACTGTGCGCGTTGCACTCTTCAAATCCAGCCTGATGCTCGACAATTAGTTAACAATTTGGCGGAAAAAGTCATAAAAAGGCTTGAGGAATTGTTTGCTCACTCTTTTATTTTTTCTAAAAGAGCACTTAGAAAAATGATCCACTCTAGTGTTGGATACTTCAGTAAAAAACGGGAAAGCGCCCCTAAAGAAAATTTCAAACCCGATTACCGGCCTCTATTCCTCACCACTAACCCAGAATAGTTTCTCATTTTTTCTCTCTTCATAGCCAAAAGCGATGTCAAATGAAGAATTTCATGCATTACATAATCGTACACAAAATGTTTTAAGTAGTTATGTGTCAACAAATCGAGCATGGAGAAAAGTAGAACAACGGCAACGTTCTGTTTTACTCATGATGAACAACGATACAGATCTATTAATGACAAGTTTGTTGTTCTTTTATTCTCTTTTTCCACAATAATTATCTTATTTTTTTTTATTCTAGGTTTTCCAAAAATACAAAATTTATTAAAATCAGACACACCATCTGATCAGAATTTAACTACGATGTCTTCATGGCTCACTCATCCATCAAAACCCGTTCGTCATAGAGCGAGAGAAGATCATATCAAAGCAATGAGATATTCTCGAGCACCGTGGTATAAATCATTGTATATGTATGAAGATGGCGAAGATTTATATGAGAAAATGGACGAAATGGATGAGTTTGATCGAAATGATATTTTAAATAATCCGTACAGATACGACTATGAAAAACGTAAATTTGTACAATTTAATACACCCCGTTCGCAAATACAACGAATACAACGGATAAAAAACAATTAAATAATTTTTAAACTTCGTTTCTTTTCTTAATTACACTTTTTAATAAACCTGGTAGTTGATTTTCATGGATTTAGAGTCAAATCGACTCTCGTAAGAGCATATCAATAATGCTTTCAGATTGGAAGATCATGATTTCTAGACACTTTTTAATAAAATAATTTTTAATCATATATTATGCTAAAATAAGATAAAGGACAGATAAGAAGAAGAACAAAAAAGTTGTCTTATGGAAAGAAAATGTAAAATATACTTTCGAGAGCATAACTAAAATTTTATATATTCATTAACCTACTACAAAGCTCAGATGCTTTCGTTTTGATTATGAGATAACAAAAAAGTAAACTTCAAATTTTAATTTGCTCGTTTATTTTCTTTCAAATGTTCTATAGCTAATAGGAAAAATTTACGTTTGAATAAATTAGGAGTGATACGAACAGATCACCAAGAATAAAAATAAAAAATAAACTCTACGAGTATCACCAAATGGAAGGCTTGTATAAGAATAAATGTTAATGTTTTTTAATTAAACTTTTTTCATTTACGCTTTTCAATTTCATGCTTGGCCTGATCTATTTTTTGATTAACTTTATCCTGTGCTTGATTAACTTTATCGTGTACTTGATCCACTTTCTCACTTGCTTTATGCTTCGCATATTCGAGATTCTCTTTTACTTTTGGATCAGTCATAAATTTTGTATAACCAAAATATGCCACTGCAGCTACAGCTGCAGCCCCGAGTAATTTTAGCGTTAATGAAGATCCAGTTGCGGCATCAGGACTTTGACCACTAAATATTAAATAAAAGAGAAAATAACTCTATATTGTTTGATAAATATAACAAACAAGGCAGGCAAACATTTTCATGTAGGTTAGCTGACTAAACACCTTAGGCAATACTTTTTTGAATATAACTGTATAATATGTTAATATTACTCAAAAACGTCAGTGATAAGTAAAACAAAATTTTGCTTAGTACCTCGTTGATTTTGAACCAGTCGTTCGATCTTTCAAAGGATCGGGTATTGTTCCATGATCTCTACCAGATTTTGTAGTTTCTGTTTGCTTTATTGGATTTGTTCCATCACCAGTTCTTGAACTCGATGGCAAATCACTTGGAGGACTACCACTGGTTGATTTACTTCCTATTGTTGAACTCGTTTGTTTTGATGCCGTACTACCACCAGTTGTAGATGCTCCTTTACCAGATAAACAACAGTAATATTTTAGAATATTACTAAGATTAAAGATGTTTCTTTCATACCTGATGTAGTCGAACCAGCATAGAAACGAGGTACATAAATGCTACCTCGTGAACTCAAACGGAATAAAGATAATGTACGACCAACATTAGCCATGTTTTATAAATCTTTATTAACTATTGAGGAACGTTAATAAAAAAGATCTAGAATATTCAATCTAAAAGTTTAATTCAGTGTATGTACAATTTACTGTCTCAACACATGTTATCTTTGGTATGTCGATAAGTTAACACGCTAGCCTCAGAACACTTTCTCTCCCAGATCAAGAATAAGTTCTTCAACTTTAAAAAAAATTTGAGAAGACTACTGTAAATATTCCTGTTCATTTTGGTAGTCGCGGAGGTTCGGTAATAAAAACACCTACGTAAAATCGATAATCAAGACAGTAAAATGTTTTTTTTACAGAATAAAAACGCATAATATAACTGTTCGCTAAGTGTTTCATGTTCCTATCGATGTAAGTATTCGTTTACAAAATTTTCTGGTCAAAGCAGAACGATAAGAGAGATCCACTATGACTGCCTCTAATTACTTGTATATACGAAGGCTCAGTTTTTTTTCCAGTTATTGACAAGAGTCAGCTTCTGGAAAAAAAAAACTCATTTCTCATTTGTTGTATTTTCTCAATGTCGCGCCGAAAAGGTGATGAAAATGAAAGACAAAAAGCGTAATTGAATCAACAAGCGAGAAAATAACTATAATCAAGAAAGAGCAGCAGCAACAAAAAGAAAATCTTGCTAAATTCAAAATTGTTTCAAATTATTTTGTTTTTAAAAAAAAAACATTATCGAAAACAGCGAACAAGAGAAAACTGACTGTTAGTGTTGTTGCATCATACAGGCAACAAGTCAACATTTAACCGTTGCACGTGAGACCCAAAAAATAATGCAATGAACTAAGAATGAGAGAGAAAGTAGCTGACTTTATCTACACAGATCTGACACAAACAAAAAAAATACCAACAAAAAACACGAATCAATAAACAAAAGAAACAAGAAGAAAAAATCTTAAATCTGTAAAGTGCCTATCTGATACAAAAAGAAAAGTACCTTTTAGAACAAAAATCAATGGATGCTGTTAATTTTTATGTTTTAATACGTCAATTAATTGAGTCATCAATTTAAGATCCCGATCATGTTGTTTTTGTTCATTTTCTGTTATACGTATTTGTATTAAATTAATTTCGTTCATCAAAGAGTGAATGATATTATTAATCAACAGATTATTGTTATTGTCTTGGATTTGTAATGGTTGTTGTTTTTGCGTTGTTGTTTTTGTTGCGGATACCAACGATCCATCTATTGTGGGTGTTAGCACCGGCATTGTCTAAACGGCAGAAAGAAATATCGTCAATAAGATAAAAAGTAAACAAAGATATTTTGACAAAGATATGTCTTGGTTTTCTATTCAATACAACCAGTGGTATGATACTTACTTGCACGGATGCTTCTGAGACCTTTTTTGTAATTGTTTTCACTGTGTTTGTTGCTTCGGTTACTGCAACTGGTGTTGCTAGAGGTGTATTTATTTTTGAACGTTCTAAGCGAAGTAATGATGAATAATCAAGTCTAACACTGACAGCATAATGATCATGTCGAACTTCTTCAACACGTATCGTTATGTAATTTGATTCAGTCATTAACCAAAATTTTGATAATTCTTCATGTGATAATTTTTCATTATGAAGACGCACACGTACACCCAGCCATGGTAATTTTCGAACACCTTCTGGACATGATGTTAAATCCGATAGTTTTAACGTAGCTTCATTACCATAATCGACATAGAGAACATTATAAGAATTTCCTAAAAAAACACGAAATAAAAGAAAATATTTAATTTTTGTCGAGATATTGAAAAGCGTAACTTACCACTAATCGATTTGATCCATGCACGATACCATTTACCTTCATATTTGGCTGATATTAATGTTTTTAAACGTGGTGTGATTGTTCTTGTTCCCGATGTATCAAGTGCTAATTCTGTCATTTCAGTATCAACAGCCACAGTTGTATCATTCGCTATTAACACATAAAAACTGTCATCTTTGCCACTGAATGAACTCAACAGAGCTTTATGTTCTTCACCAACTTTGAGAACAAGTTGATGACGAAACTGTTCAACAAATTCTTCTTGTTCTGACATTGGCGTCTACAAAAAATACACAACTTTTTAGAAAATCCCCAAAACAGTAATTTCTCCTATAACATCATGCACACCGGAATAAAGAGAGTGGACAAAATTGACGAAGTAAATAATATAAATAAGGAGCAAGTCAGAGATGGGTAACTCTAACTCCGTTTCAACTCCGATAAGACAGAAGTACTACTAACAGAACCAAACGATGCTGCCAATGGAAGTATTTTCGACTTTTACAGAGATATCAACAATTATAACACTCAATGTGGAAAAGTGAGAAAGTCTAAGAGAGGAGATCGAAATAAGGTTTTGTTTTTTCTTTCCTGTTTATTTCTTCAAGAAATAGACGTGAAAAAGAAAAAACAAGAGCCTCGATCAACTCTAATGTGATCATCGCAGAAAGCGACAATGCTGCAATGTTTTCTCTTTTTTGTTCATTCATATGATCATCGGTTGCATATATGTACGCGAGTATCGGTTATAACATATGCACAATATATAAACGTTGGACACATGTTTACATCGCTTTATAGACCTCAACTTAGTTTTGATTTTCTTTTCCTTCTTTTATTTAACAAAAGATTATTTAATATTTCGACAACGACGTTGTAGTGGCGTAGCCAGAATTTTCTTAGTGGGTGGGCGTTGCCCCAAATTTTTTCAAAGTGGTAGAAGTATAAGAGATTTTCACAGAGTAGTGTGAATTATAAAACTTTTAGCGGGTGGACAAAACCAGTTAGTGGATGGGCTGAGAGGTGGCTACGCCACTACAACGTTGCCTTTATCAGAAAAAGGTGATGTACATTTGAGAACACTGAATATATATAGATAGAATTTTAGTAAACTGTTTATCTTTTTAATTGATAGCGGACCAGAAAAGACGGTAATACTGGATGAGCGACTCATAAGTCTTCTTCTTTCGATCCGATTATACACGATATGAAATGGCAAGACGGTGATAGTGGATCGGAAGAAGAAGACTTATGAGTCGCTCGTCCAGCATTATCGTCTTTTCCGGTCCGCTATCAATTAAAAAGATAAACAGTTTACTAAAATTCTATCTATATATATTCAGTGTTCTCAAATGTACATCACCTTTTTCTGATGAAGACAACGTCGTTGTCGAAACGTTAAATAAACTTTTGTTAAATAAAAGAAGGAAGAGAAAGTCAAAATTAATTTGAGATTATAATGACCTTTCTTACAAGACATGCATCGCTTTATAGAACGAATATGATGTAATGTAACATATGTTCATCATGTGATATGATGTAACAAAAAAATGGGAAAAAAATCTCCAGAATTGTAAAAACTTCGAACTAGAGTTGTGGAGTTGGAGTTGAAAAAATCTAAATTCAACACAACTCCAACTCCATCAAAAAGAAGTTCAACTTCGGAGTTGGAGTTACCCATCTCTGGTCCATCAGCAAGTTCACCATACCTCTGGCGGTTTTAATATTGAACATATTTGATCGTTAATGTTTTCATTTTCACAATATAAAATTATTGTTCCACCATTTATACTATCATAGTTTGTAACTAAAACTTCGTAATTATCTTTGCCTTTGAGGAAAAAAAAGAAATTTACATGCATTGGTCAATGAAATAGGATACAAGCAATTTACGTACTTAATAATGCCATACATTTTTCAGTTGTTTCATTATCCAACTTCATATGTGGTACACCATCAAGACGACATTGTATACAACAAGCAGGATCATTATAAAAACTGAATAAAAACATGAAAATACCTTTTCTTAAGCAGAAGGTAGGTTTTCAATGTTACAACTGATATGACATTTTTTTGACAAACGGAAATAACATGAAAACAAAATAAAAAACTTGTCAAACTTACACATTTGGAAGACGACGTAAATCTAAAACCAAACAAAAGTATAAGGTAATTAAAACTGGAATTGAAATCTGTCGTTTATGCCTTACTCTGCTTATTAGCCGACACTTCCATTCCCCAGTCGATATACTGAACTTTGACCGAATCTTCCAAAACTTGAACACAACGACAACGAAACCATCTTCCTTCATGAAACGTGGCGCATAGACGGTTCACTTGTGGTCTAAAACATGAAACGTTTAAGAAAATCAACAGAAACACATTTAGAGAAAGACTCTTCACATACTTAAAATTTACTGTTGGTTTTTCAGCGCTTAATTCTTCATTATTATGCATATCTGTTAATAATTTTAATGCTGTGGCATAATCTTCATGCATCATTATATGAATTGTTGATGGTGAGTCAGGATGCGCAACATGAACATTTAGCAATCGTTGACCACGCTCTAACGCTTTATGTTGTGGAATATCCATTAACTGTGGACTTGCATGAATTGACGTTTGTTGAAAATTCATATGCAATTTATTTTGTGACGTCATACTTGTTGAAATAGGCGTTGTCGAGGACGATCGATTATTATGATTTATGCTTCCATTAACTGTTTTAGTTCCAATTGTTAATTTCTTCTGTTGAGACGAGGATAATGATGAAGTTGGGCGTGGTGTCAATGAAGAATCGTTTTTTGGTGTAAATTTTGCTTTAGCTGGTGGATGTTGAGATTGTTTTGGTATTGCTGCCAATGTATTTGCATCATAATTTGAATTTTCACAATCTGGAATAAAAATGCAAAACGTTCTATTTTGGAAAATTTAACAACTCATCCCGACCTTATCTTAAGAAGACCAAATTATTTCAATGCTCCGACCGATCCATCTTGACTATACTTACTAGTATACATACAAGTTGAATTTGTTATAAATGCTGCATCATCAATAAGACCAACCTACAACAAATTAAAGAAAGAACATTGAAAACTATACGTTAAGTAAATAATACGCGCCGCTTACATTGGGTCTAGGGTACCATCTTTTATCTAGTTCTAGTTCCGATTGTGCATGGTTATTGTCAAATGTTGTGTTGTTAATTGTTTTACCGTTGAATGTTGTCGGAGACGTTAAATTCTCATCTAACTCATCGTCACTTTCGTCTCCATCGTCACTATCAACGTAGTTTGGCTGTTGTTCATTATAGTGAGTACGCATACGCTGTTGATTTGCTGCTAAGGAATTGGCCGATGGCACTAAACTTGGACGTAAGCGTGGGTATGTTAGATTGGCATCGAATGGTGCATATTGTTCAGATGACGAAAGATGATCTTCATCAGAACGTAATGCTGTTGTACGTCGTTCTTCATCAAACGATCCTTGTCGAACACGTGCGCCTCGAATACCCGTACGCATTCTTAACAAATATGAAAAGACTATATCTAAAATTAATTATATACTTTTCTTTTATCTTAACGAAAGAAAGAACACGACTTTATAGGTGGTACTACTGTCTGCTGAAATATTTAGGTTTATGACACATCCGTTGCGACTGAGGAACTGTGAGAATCTCTACGGTATCTTGCTTTAGAAAATTTCAATTTCTGCCAGCTATGAAAAATAGTTTTCCTGTGGGCTAAACCGTACAAAAGAATTCTAAAAATTCGGTCCCCTGCTTTCCTGGTCTATAACGTGAAAAAAAGCTGGCCTAAACTACTTTAATACTGGGTTATAACAGATATTTTTCTAAACAGCTTTGAGCATAAAAAAACGCCTATCAATCTCTCATTCGTAGTTCTGCAATCGCTATATGCTGGCAGAATTTTCAGTTTATCAATACTTTTGAAAACAACGGCCGTGCCTTTATTTTATATATTCTATGCGTTATAGTCATTGTACTTTACTTTTTGTACATTCAAGAGCGTGTAGACACACGTGGTTGGAAAGAAAACAGAATGAAAGAAAAAAAGCCACTAAATAAGTGAGTGTATTCATGAACAACCAAAGCAAGAAACTGATAAACTACGATTTATTTATGAGCTATGTGACGTGACGTCCATGATTTTGCATCAGAAAACGCTCTGTTTGTACCTGCTTTTCTACAGCCTAGTATAACTGTGGTTCAAGCCCATAGGAAACATGCCAAGAGTCACGTGCCCAGGATTTTGGGCAGAAGGATCAAAATTTTGTCATCCAGTAGAAGGTGGATTCTTCGTTTTCTTATAATCCTTATCTTTGATTTTCAAAGTATAACGACATTACGAATAAGTAGAGACAAATTTTTTCAGGGGGAAGTTTGAACCCCAATCCCCGCCCCCGCTTGGCACGTGCATGCATGCAAATATAGCACGATACAATACATATGTCAGTTAAAAAAGAAAAAACAAACGCAAGGCATTTGCCACAGTTGATGTCAAAATACCAAATTCTTTCTTTCGCGCAAGAAAAACTCGTCCAATACGGTGAATTTTTCTTCATTTCTTTTGTAAAGAATTAAGGGCTGTTTTATCAATTCGCTCACGACGACTAAGCATTTTAAATCATTAGGGGAGGATGGACGAAAAGATAAGACTAACTAGAGAGCAATTATCTGCAAAGACGACTGAGCTTTAGTGCTTTTACAGTTGAAATAGAAGCCTTGCTAGTGATAGTAACTTCACCAAGCCATACAAAAATTAATTTAAACATATTCTCATTTGAGAGTACAGGATCACGATTGGTATTGTTTAAAACATGATTTGACTAAACTGTCTTATATCCCTATGATAAATTTCATTCATCAGATTTTATTCAAAAGAAAAAGACAGATGTTCGGTTCACTGCTGACCGGTAAACCGAGTTGAAATTATTTTTTCCTGTAAATCATCTTTGTATCTTAATACTAGGCGAATCTAAGAAATACTATATTGTGGACTGAGGCCAGTTTCTTAAAAAAGCTTAATTCGTCTTAAGTCAAATTTTATAGCTAAGTGTGTTTCTCAAACATTACTTAACTTAAGTCATCTCTCGATTTCACTTAAGTTTTCACTTAAACTTTTAAGTAAAAAATTGTTTAAATTTTGTAACTTCTTTATTTGAAGTAAGTAACCCATCCAATCCACCATAATTAGACTGAACATCAATTTTTAGAGATTTTGTTCAGAAAATTGCTGTAAAATAATATAAGTTGTCTAAATTACCAATGGTTTTTACTGCATGACCTCTGCCTGACTTAAGCTTTTTAAGAAATTGGCCCCTGGTCACTTACCACATATTTTCATACTATTTTTTTGTTGTACATGACATAGAACTCAAGTGGAATGTGCCACTTGTCGATGTATGAATGCTTTGAGCCTAACCAACTGTAACCTTAGAGAAAAAGTATTTTTTATAAAAATTGAGTTTATTTTTGAGAAAAGTCCACATTCTGATTCGAATTACCCAGACCCAAAAGGATTCTGTCACATGATTATTTAACCTGAGTGTGGATCGATCGAGTTTTGAAATAGAAAAAAAACAAAATTTCATTGATTCATATGCATCACTCAACCTGTTAAATCGAGTTTTCAGATTTTTTCACATACGCCTGTTCTGCAGATCATACAGCACACATTTTGATAAAAAATAATGACCAAAACGTATATCAAAATTGTTGGTTCAATACGATTATCAAAGAGCCTTTAAACTTTGAAAAGTATTGCTATCGATCAACTATGATTATTTCAACACATTTTGAAGAAATAATTTGACAGAATTAGTGCTACTTTGAGTACTAACAGCAAAAGTCAATATTTGGATGAACGAAAGTGTACTAGAATGAACGAAAGAAGGATAAAACACAAAATTACAGAGACTACAATATAATAACAGTTATCTATATACGACAGTAAATGCTATTTTCAATTTGTTTATTTATTTATGACGTACCGTAAGAAAGAAACAATGTTAAAAAAGCACAGTAGTAGAAAAATAACATCTCATACTTTTGCAACTCTCGTTAAAGCCACAAAAAAATAAAAATGTTTCATTCTCAAAAATAAATTCTGAGAATTTTGTTAGTAGACGTATTCTATCTTATATACTGTTTGCTTTAATATTGAACACATTCACGAACATCAAACCATGTAGTTCTACAATGGTAACTGTGCTAAAGTAGAAGAGATCCAATATATAGATAGTTAAAGCAGGAGCTTGATACGAGATCATTAAAAAACAACTGACTTGTCAATGATATTAAAACAAATATGCTGATCATTTTCGCTCCAATACGATAAATTTGTTTTAGTTAACATACAGTTCAACTCTACTTAATATTCTCCAATAAACTCGTCGGATTTAACTTCTGTAAATTAGGACGTACTTTTGCATCGTCGCATTCCATCATACCATCTGCTATTCGTGCCAAATGTAAAATCATAATGAATCTACTCATTGAAATTTTCTTCTGCATTATTTAATGATAAACCAAATCGTCGCGGAGGCCATGCCACCCACAATGCCTTACCCGTTATCAGTCCTCGGGATACACAACCAAAATGTCTACTATCATAACTCTGCCGTTTATTATCGCCTTCAACCCAAAGTTGTCCTTTTGGAACAATATTATGTTCGAAATTGTCAGCATTACTTAAAATAAAGAACTTCGTGATTCATCTTGTGATTTATGTGTTCTTTAGCAAACGAAGTGCTTTGAGTTTTGGAAAAAGAAAGGATATTTATTTATATAAGTTAGTTGCAAACTGTTCTAATGTTTTCGTTTTTTCATTTCTTTTTCTCAGATCCTAATAATCACCACACTTAATGGACTTTTCGATTTCTGTTGTTTTCACAAAGAAAAACATATATAATTATTATACAGTTAATATTCTAATATTTTCGAAAAACAAAGATAGTTATAATGAAAACTTTAACATACTAAACTTGTTCACCCTCGAGAAATTTGACACGTTTTATCATAAATGTACCAGGATCTCTTGGTGATCTAATTGAACAAAAATATTGAAAAGACAATAGCATATTTTTTTGAATATAAAAACGTACTCAAACGATAGTATATCACCGTTTTGAACTTCATAATTATCGATGTTCCAACGTTTTATAATAATCCAATCAGAATCTGCTTTTGTCTCGCTTACTGGATTTAAAATAGGCTAAAATAAAATAGAAACTTGAAATTTATCTTTTAGAACAAATATACTCGGTTGGCAGGACATACCTGCATCGATACCCCATCGACAAGTGAAACAGTAGCAACTTTGTCAATAAATACTGTGACGATTGGTATTGTCACAATGGTTCCTTTACCAATACTTTTTAGTATATTATATACATTACTGAAAAACCGTTTCTATATAAAAAGAAAATCAAAAATAACTATAGTAAAAGGTCAGATTCAGAATGTATAAAAATGAGACACTCACCATTTATTCATAAATCCAAGAACGTAAAATGAACATTACGATAAAAATAATCATCTAAAATTCAAGCAATTGAAGACAAAAATAATCTTAAACAAGTTTATAACAAAAAGAAAATGAATTAATTAGTAAATAGTTTAGACATCTCTGAAATTGAGAAGCCACTTTCAATTAAAAACTTTAGATAAACTTATAGTGCATGCTTAGACTTTTCTTTATCAATAGTAATGGTAAATATATAAATGCTAGAGAACATCAGACCGAATAACGAAAAAGTATAAATTTCGTCGTAATTCTCCTAAAAAATGACCAATTTATAGTAAATAGATTTACTATGAATTATGTTTAGTAAAATAAAAATGAAAAAGTAGTAACACAATAAATTTTTGTCGTAAATAGAATTACAGACGTTCAGACCAAAACAAATAAAAAAAAAATTACTTAATGAGTAAAATTTGAAATATAATTAAAAAAAAGAAATGTGCTGAAAACAAAAACAAAATTGGCATGAGTAGGATGAGTCTATGAAGAAAAACAATTGAGAAAAATTTTGTCTTTCTTACGCTTCAGTTTTAACATTGATTTAAAAATTTATTCTTATTTTTTTTGAATGTCAGCAAATACTTGTTCAACGTCTTTGAAAACCTTTAAAAAAGTGAATGAGAGAATATGTCTTAACAGTAACCAGAGAATTTACCATTATTACACTTTACCTGTTCAACATCGTTCGAAGCGTCAACTTTTTTGACTAAATTTTCTTTTTCATACAATTGTATTACCGGACGGGTTGAATCATTGTATGTATGAATTCTAAAATTATTTCATGAATTTTCACACATTTTGACTGAAACTTTGACATGTTTATAATTTACCGTTTTTTTATACTCTCCGCATTATCATCTACTCGGCCACTATTTTTTCCACGATCAAGACATCGATTTACGCATACCTGTAAACGATAGCATTAGAAAAAAAATCAATATTTTTAATTTCTATTTCTTATTTACGTACGTCTTCTGAACAATCAAAAAATAATACACATTGCAAATTTACTTTACCATCCATCACTTTATTCCATCCCTCAACATTGTCTTGATTACGAGGAAAACCATCAACTAAAAAGTTTTGTTTATCACTTTTATTCATGGCCTAAATAAAAGAAATCGAATGTGGTAATAACTATGTGAACTAGTTTAGATTGTTCAAAGACCAATAAGTCTTTCAAATTACACAAATTTATCAATATTTCAAAAATCCCAAAGATATAGATGCTCAATTAAAAGTTCCACGATATGTATATGATGAACTAAAGCATAAACCTTGTCCATTTTAAACAAGAGAGAAATCATTTAAAACTAAACTATTTTAAGCTGATAAATATTGATAGTTGAGACAAACAATTACTTGTTCGAGTAATTTGCATGTAATTTCAACCGGTACAATTTGACCACCTTTAATGTGATCATTAATTAATTGTCCATACTTTGATTCTTTATTTGCGCATTCTTCACGTAAGAGATCACCAGCGGATAAATGAACATAACCGTATTTCTACCAAAAAGAAATAAAAAAAAGAGTAAAATTATTATACTACGATGAAAATTCAATTCATACTGATGCTATGCGTTGACATTGGGTGCCTTTACCTAAAAGAAAAGGATTGTTAGTCTACATAGTTGTTTTCATCATGCAAGAAGTCTTTCTCACCAGCGCCCGGGCCACCAAGAACAAACACAACATTTGGCTTATTTGACATTGTTTTTGTTTTTTCAAAAAAATTCTTTATTTCAACTTTTAATCTGAAAAATAAATCCCTCAATCAAGTTCTGTATAGATGAAACAAGTTCATTAACTAGACAGAAAACAATTTCCGACAAAATAAGACGTAGTATATTCAAAAGTTTATTCTGTTATAAAAAATAAATAACAGCACAAAGATAATAGTAAAAAAAAGTACACGTTCTATACAGAAAAATATCTGTATAAAAATAATTTCATATAACAAGAAACCTCAAAAACAAGGATCTAGGTGGGCGGAATCTGAAGCAATCTTTCCAAACTAACCATCACAGAAAGGGACAAAGTTATTACATAACAAATGAGTATAGATGTCTGAAATATTTAAACTGATATGTTCTTCATTAAAATAATAAATAATAAATTTCCTTTAAAGCTAAAATAGATGTTGAATGAAAACTCAAAAAAACAAAATAGAGAAATAGCCTAGCAAATAAAATTGTGTCATGTAATTTTCTGTTCACAAATTTGGAGAATTATTTAACTTTGGAAAGGAGAAAGAATAAATAATAAAATGATGAGCGCTTATTTATATACAAATATTTTGCATTTTAGAATTATCGTCATAGCAAAAAAATCACAACTTTACTGCATAGCATAACTGTCACACAAACATTAGAATATGAACCCATTCTAAATCAAAGAGTAATTGTTTAAACACTTACAACACTTTTGATGTTATAAAAATATGTCTAACTTAAAATCTCTTTCGAATACTATTTCACCTGTTCCATCTTGTCATTCACATTATTTTGCATAAAATGTTTCTCAATGAGCATTTTTAATATTTTATTAGGATATAACAACTGATATTTCAATGGTAGATTTGTAATAGGACTGGTTTTCTTTTGTAATATCCATTCTTCAATAGCATGTTTTTCATAACTATAACCATCAGATGCACATGTTGGTTCTAACATTAATTCGTGCGTTATTGGACAAATGAATTCGTTTGGTAAAATATCACTGGTATGATTCATTAATCCTGTTTTGTTTATTTTCGCTGTTGTTGATCGTAATTGTTCAATAAAATATTTATGTCTCACACGATTTAATTCCTTGAGAAATACTTCACAACTATTTGAATCTATTTGAAATAAATCAATTATTTCCATATCCGATTTGTTCAATAAATCTTTACCATTGAGTAATTCTTTATGCTGTTTAATACCAATCTCTTTTAACCACTGTTCAACTGTGTCATTGGTCCATTCATCTATTGGTAAAGGATGTTCGTAGGAAGAGGTCGAATTTTGATTCGGATTTTGATTTTCATCTCTTATAATTGTCCATAATTTTACTAAGCGGTCATTTGAGCCACTAACTAACAGTTTTCCATCAAATGAAAATGAACACGTAGTCACATAACGTTCATGTGCTTCAAATTGTGTTAATATTTGTCCGGAAATATAATCCCAGATGATAATTGTTTTATCACCGCTACCCGAAGCTAACAGATGACTCGAATCTATTGGTGAATACGCTACACACATAACAGCACATGAGTGCTGAGATAATGTCCGAACATATTTCAATGAAGTGGATGTTGCATGCCACAATTTGACTTTATTATCGTTTCCACCCGACGCAATCAATTCATATTCATCTGTGCGATATCGTTGTTCTTGTTCTTGTTGTATTGGATTATCTTCTGTTTTTTTTGCACTATGTTTCTTATTTTTATCTTGTTTGGTAGGTTTTACATCTTGTTTAACAACAGATTCAACTACAACTGTTTCGGTCTTTACAACAGAACAATATTTTGTGTCTAAACACGTAACGCCTAAATCGTGCGCTTCTCGTTCAAAATGAAGTGCAGCATTATAAGATGTACTGACCATCCATAATTTAATATCGCCGTAGAACGACCCAGAGATCAAATATTGATTATTGAATATAAATTTTAATGTAACAATTGTTGCTGAATGGCCTGTAAATGTTTTAACTGGCTTCATACTGGATGATTTGTCGTTTTCTATATCCCATAAATTAATAAGTTCATCGTCGCCAGCTAAACAAGAACATTAAATAAATATGAATTAGAAATGTCGATTATGCATGAAAACAAACCGTAACTGATCGAAGTATTTTTGTTCTTAATTGTTCACAAAAAGTTTGACATACCCGTTGCTAGCAATAAGCCATCCGATGAAAATTGACATACTCGAAGAGGTGATTGACTTTCATGTTGAATCTTCTTGATGACACTACCACTTTTGCAATCCCATAATAGACAGGTACCATCGGTTGATACCGATGCTAAATAATTATATCGTTCAATAGGTGAAAAAGATACACAATGTACTTGATATGTGTGTTTTTTTAATGGAGATATGGATTCATTCTCAGTTAATGTTTCCAAATTCCAACAACGTACAGTTTTATCTGACGAACACGAAGCCAACAGATTGGGTGAAAATATACATGAATTTACATCGGATGAATGACCATACAGTGTATGAAGGAGTTTTATGCACAATTTGTCAGACTCCATCTGAAACTAAATAGATAAGAAAAAGTTTATTTTAATTAAGAATTACTTTAATAGCAAACAATGCTGAGATCATACTCAAAGACGGCAGCAATAAGTCGTTCAGATTTAGCAAAAAACCGTGGAATATGAGTGCAGCGCAGAGTTGCCAGATGGTCCGTATTTTGCGGACAAATTCCGGATTTTTGAGCTTTTCCGCGATTTGTTCACATTTTCTACTTTTACGGTTTTTCCCCTGTTCATATAAGATTTAAAAAAAGTTTTCTATCTATTGAGGATTCTCTTCCCCATTCTTCTGCCATGAATTTATTTGACGATAAAAGAAATCGTATGTGAACAGAAATCATTGCAGTTGAGTTCGAAACTCATCGTTATCATGCATTGAAATTTATAATTATTTCTTATCAACGGCAAAACTACTTAAACTTATTCATTCTAATAAAAAATATAGTCAGAAAACACAACGTGTTAATTAAAATCGAAACTTACACTTCTGTCTGTTGTTCTCTTGTGTTTGAGTAAAACCACAAAGTGCTAGAGAAAATATCTTTCTGACTCTCTGCGCGTGAAAAAGAATAAAGTTAGACCATGAAAATGTATTTCCGTTTTTCTTCTACAATTTTCCGCATTTCTGGCCTGATATGAGCACCTGACAACTCTGATGCAGAGTCAATAATGATTGCGCAGAGTACAGAGATTCAAGAGAAACAAAAAAATCTATACTGCTGAAATGTAAATGGCGGCACTCAGAAGTTGAGAGCTGTTTCATGCAGGTGAATACACCTTTTTCAAAAGAGAAGAACAAATAAGAGCAGTATAGCCAGAGGGATGAGTTGAGTGGTATATAATATTAATAACTTAGAGTCTACCAGCCATTGATGTACAAAACGATTAGAACGCGAGATATAAATTTACGATACAAGGATAGAAAAACTTTAAATATAAAAGGTCCCATATGGTGGAAACGTTTCGTTTTTTCAGTCTAAATCAACAATTAAAATACGACGTTTTCCAATACACGGCTTCTCGACTTAGACTTTATGCATTTTGCACTTCGCTGAGTTAGTGTCTGCACTTAGTGTATGTTGCTATGGATGCAACCATAATGATGACACAGAAAAGCGATAGTTTCAAACGGACAATATCAGTGGGTCAATACGCTAGGGCTGAAAGCTAGACTTAAGTCGCTAGTGTCATCGTGAGTTTACGTTGATTGTGGCGTCTTATTCTTAGTTTTCAGTCCGGTATTCACCGGTTAAGGGTATCCCACCACTTAAGAGACACAGCAGAATTCATGATAAATCACAAGTCCTAGTGTGTATCTTGACTATGTATCAATGAAACTTCTTACTACACGGCAACGTTAACCCTTTCGGGACCGGTGACGGTTTAAAATGTCATTAAAATTTCACGTTGTCTAACACAGGAAAATTCGAATTTTTTCTCGTCTCTTCGAAGTAAACGTTTTGTTATCGCCCTATATATAGCCCTTAGATTGCTACAAAGAGGAAGATTGATACAGAAATAAATTCAAGTGGATTAAGATCTCAATCATTTTTGAAAAGTTGAGAAATTTGTAATTATTGCTCGAAATAAATCGGTCCTGGAAGGGTTAAAACATCGATTAATATGACCGCCCTTCTTTCGACCAATAAGTAATGCCGCTTATCTCGCTGATTTTTTTGATTGATTATCTTTGGCCTGGTCTACACCATACATTTTTCTCTTTTAACTCTGAGATAATTGATTGAAAGTTAAAGTTGAAGGTGTCTACACTATAAAGTTAATGTTCCAATAGAATTTCAGTTCTACCTGTATCATGGTGAACAGTAGTGCAGGATAATGCAGCTATGCAAAAAGATAGTCGTGTACAAAGCAGATTCTACCATAAACTTACGGAATGGCTATTGACACCCCCGTGGTAGCAGCAAGAAGCTACTGACACCCCGTCGAACTGGCAGCAAGAGCTATTACACATTGCATAAATGTGTTATTCAAAGTGTTATGTTGAATTAGTTCTGAAATTGACGGCCTATGAGAGGTGATTTCGGGTGGCTGTACATGAGAATGAGCCACAGGAATACTTCCATGTTACCTGGGGATGATGGTCTTTATTAAATAACACATTTTTGCAGTGTATAAGTGTATTCTGGACTGATTTTTGAAAGTTTACACTGTTCGAAGGTACAGCGATTCTACTTAACAGAAAATTTTTTCCTTTTAAAGGTTTTGTTCGGCGTTTTTATTTGTGACAAGTATGTTCATGTTTCGAGTTATGAAGTTCATATGTATTGGTACATGAGTGATGAGTTTAAAAATGTAGATAAGTCATGGTTTTAAATTGTATTTACGACTATCGAAATCGAGCTAGCTTTTTTAACTATAAAAATAGATTTTTACTTAGTTTATTTGTTTTAAAATCGCCGACGAAGTGGTTGAGTCAATCTCGAAACGTCTAGTTACTGATTTTGAAATATAAAAAGTTTCAATAACTACGAGATATCAAGTAACCAAACTTTACTAAAAATGTCGTCTGATTCTCGTAACAAAAACAACAACTACTCATTTACTAATAAAAAAAGCACTCTACTAGCGGGAGAAACAACTCAGAAACTACCAAAAATAATATTTTGAAGTTTTTTCTAGTTTTAGTTTTGTCTTATACATTGCTTGCTAAGACTTAACTGGCTTATGCGTGACTAAAGTGATTATCAATTGGTAAATTGTTAACAAGTTACTAGAGTTCTTTTTTACCACCACCTGAACCATCAACTTTTGGAAACTGAAAGTTTTCGGGTACCTAAACAGAAAGTAGAAGGATTGTTGAAATTGTCCTATATTAGATTTTTTTACGAACTTTCTTGTGTTGAGTGTCTCCTATCTTTGTTGATTTTGATTTTGTTGTGGACGCACTTTTATCGTTGATATTGTTAAACTTAATTTTAATATTACGCGTATCAAATGTATCAGAGTGAATCGATTCTATAAAATCGTCCGAATTCAAACCTTTCAATATGAAAAATATAAGCACATCAACAAAGTTTGAAATATTTCAGCAGTAAATAAAGACATACCTTTATCAGATGACACTGTCATTTTAGGTTTTTCCATCTTCTACAAAATAAGAAAGGTTTGTATCAGTAAATTCTATAACTAAACAGTTCTTTCGCTTTTATAGCAGCAAAAATTTTTTAAACAAAGCATCTGTTTTTTTCTACCGTGGAAAAATTTCGTTGAAAAAAGTTAGATAAAACTTCGTAGTGAAGTGCCAAGCATCTCCGCTGCTCTCTCTACAGCTTGGTTCAACCTTGAATGTAACCAGTTTTATTTTATATAGTCAACAGTAATCGTCTCGGGTCTTTTTTACGACCAGACCCGTATACGGACTCATAAATTTTGGCTCAGTCCGGTCTGAAAAAAAACGAACTTTTTTGTGAACAGACTTGTGGACTGGACTAGTCCGCAGAATGTAGATTATTATGAGAACATAAGAAAGGCCTGGTGATTAGCCCAAAATTATAGTGATTAGCATTACTAATATCTAGCATGGATGCTCAAAAGAAAGCCAACTTCGCCAGTGACATTTTCAAGAGAACAAGGCGTCGTTTTTCCGCATTTAATCTTGATTAGGTGTTGCACTGTAATTTTATCGCCTTTCGTGAAAAAAAGGCTGGATCCGTATGCGGACCTTCAGATCACGGCCCGACCAAGTTTAGCCCGTAGACACGCTTCAAAAAAGTTGGCCCATCTCGCTTCATGGGAACTCGCGGGCTCCCATGAGTTTTGTCGGTCTGTGATGATCTCTAATAGCTAAGAATCTTTAAGCAGCAATTGAAATTTTTTATAGGTTACCTTTTGACTCAGAATTGTTGGAAACTGGTTGAATAATAATACAATGCAGATAAATGTGATAATGATCGAGATATGCATGATCATATAATATCTGTATCTAAGAAAAAGATTTGGATAAATCTTCGTAAAAATTACGATATTATTCGGATTTTGTAAGCGTAAGAAATCTGCAACGTATCGCCTCTATAAGCATGATATATAGTATTAACACTACTTCCTATTAAAACCTTGTTATAATGTTTCTAAATACACTTTGAAAACTCTTAAGCTTAATAAAAAAAGTATTTGTATTTTCTTGATCGAATAGTGAAATGGTGCATTCATTCATTCAGAAACGAAAAACCATAAAAAGCCTCTATATCGAATAATAAGTAAAACTTCAGTTCTCTTCCAGTAGAAAAAACATATACGATCAAAATTTATTACTAATTTCTGTTTTGTCACATCCAGAAATTCATAACAAGTTTTTTTCTAAAAGTACAGCGTCTTACTTTGTACAAATGAATAAGTATGTAATGAAAAACAAATGCTTGTTTTAAAACATATAAAATCACAAGTTTTTACACATTATAAAAAAGTATCATAAGGGCACAAGTCTGATATGATTTTTTATTTGCGATGTTTGTTCAGAAGATATTTCAGAGACATAATAGATAACAGCAAGCACCAAGTTTTACTAAATTGTGGAAGATTCTGTTGTTGAGTCTATCTGTTGTTTAGATCACAATGCAATGGAAGAAGATAAATCATGTAAGCCATATTTTCGTTTTTCTTGCTTTGGCAGTATTATTTATGATATGCCATACCAGAGAATCATATCCTAAAAACCATACATCCGGATGTATAATTAGGGAGTATCTATCTATTTTAATTTGATAAAAAGCTCACTGATGCTATAGAATTTTCTTTTTTTTATACAAACTTTTTGCTGCTATTCAATAAAATTAAAAGATCTTGCTAGTAAACTGCGCCAAACAAATTCCCTCTCACTGAATAACTTTCTGCGATATCTGACAAAGCTAAAGAAAAGAATGCCCAAAGACAGTTTCGATCAGCATTGTAGCAACTCGGATTCCCCTTTAATACTAGATAATCGATTTATTATTGGCCCTGTTATTGATCGAGGTGTTTTTGGAGAAATTCGTCTTGGACGCGATAGTATAACGTCGGATAACGTAGCTGTTAAAATAGAACTGATGTCTCCGGCTTATCGCCCACGTTTGGAAACTGAATATAATTGTTATAAAACCCTCGGTGATAATGAAGGTATTCCACGAATATTTTATTTTGGTCAAGTGTCCGATATGTGTACGTTAGTTATGGATTATTTGGGTTCAAGTCTAGCAAAGTTATTCGATTCTCGTGGCAGAAGATTTACATTAAAAACAATCGTTATGATTGGCTTACAGTTATTAGATCGTTTAGAAACAATTCATTCAAAATATATTCTGTTTCGCGATATTAAACCCGCCAATTTTTGTATCGGAAGAAGTTCTCAACAAACAGAAAATGTGATACACATTATTGATTTTGGTCTAGCAAAAGAGTATATTAATTCCGTCACCGGTTTACATATACCGTATAAAGAAAATAAACCATTAGTTGGTACCACAAGATTTATGAGCGTCAATGTTCATCTCGGAAGAGAATATTCACGTCGAGATGATTTAGAATCATTAGGTTATATGATAATCTATTTTTTGCATGGAAAACTTCCATGGCAAAATATCAAAGAAAGCATGCCTAAAAAACGTTTAGAAAAATTAGCTAATATGAAACGGAGTTTAGCTATTGAATCGTTGTGCGAAGGTGCGCCAAATGAATTTATCAAATATTTTCATCATGTTAGAGAGTTAGAATTTTATGATACACCCGATTATAATTATTTGAAACAATTATTTCACACAGTATTGGAAACAAAGGGATTCAAAAATGATCGAGTATTCGATTGGACAACAGAAAAAATAATTGAATTTATTCCAAGAAGAATGGATACAAGTGATGAATTAACCACAGTGATGAAAATGAACGATGCCGAGCATGATCAGTTTGGAAACATAGTAGACGGCACACAGACGAAAACATTTTATCGAAGTTGTAATGTTATTGTTAATGAATTACGTTATGAAACATTGAATAACATTAAAAAAAATAAACGAAATAGAATTGTGGTTGTCACTGATATCGATTGTTGCTGTTGTACGTTCTCGATTAAAACAAAACGGTAAAGGCATATCACCGGATCGAAAAATTTTAAAAGCTTGTTCGGTTAAAATCGATTGCAGATTCGTCTTCTCCATGGTTGATTATGTGGTACGCGATAACTTCTGGATCGGGGTACTTTATTTAGAAAAAATTTTCGACATCGTTTTGCCTTTGGTCCCATACGGTAACATTTTGAAAAATTTTTGAGCAAGACCATGAAAAAAATTTTTTCTAAAGTACCCCGATTCAAAAGTTATTGTGTACCACATAATCAACCATGGAGAAGACGAATCTGCAATCGGTTTCAACCGAACAAACTTTTGAAATTTTTCGATTCGGTGATATGCCATTTTGCTGTTGAGGCATTGGTTCCATTAGAAAATCTATTTCCAACGAAATAAATCCAATCTCGACGAAACTTGCTCAGATGATCGGTCATATCAAATGTAATTCACGATAAAAATTTTCAGTTATCAGGTGGTTCAGAAATTCTAAGTAAAACAATAATCAAATAAGAAATTAGACATTTTAAAGATTTCATCCCATTTAAGGGCTAAGGAGTTCGGATTGGTCTTAAACCGTAATAATATCAACTACCTTTACATTAGCGTTTAAATTTTGCACTTACTGATTTACAGAAAACATTTTTCTTTAAGAGTCTGTGCAATCCTTATTAAGCCTTTCAGAAATCTTTATTTCTATAAGAAGAAAAGTAGAAATAAAAATTCGTCATCGATAGCTATGACAGAAGTGGGATGAACACAAAGACCGATTTTGAGAAAAGCGTAAAACAAGTTTCTGATACTATAAGTTGCGCTTTTTGCACGACCAGAGAAAAATCTTTCATACTTTTCTAATGATTACCGATTACGAGAAACATATTCATCAGCATCTACACATATTATTTCGTCAAAAAGCCACCAAAAACAAAAACAAATTTTTCTTTCGAATTTTATAGAAAACTATTAAAATATTTCTATGGAAATCAAATTAAACCATTAGAAAGATTAGATGTGCTACAAAATCGATATTTTTGAATCAAACTTGACTTTTCTAACACAGACAAGCATTTTAAACCAGCATACACAGTGAATGTGTGTGTGTGTGTGTGTGTAGATAGATATTGCATAAATGCTCCATGTGTGATTTTGCATAGATCAATCAAAAATCTATCAATAAATTCACCAGCTTCTTTCAGAAATACTGTGAAAACCGGTCATGTGGCTTATACCACATCCTTTAAAATAATCTAATTAATGTTTGGGACGGCGCGCATCTTACTTATAGCGATCACATCGATTATTTTCTAACAAGAAAATTTTCACTACACATCTTTCTTAATGTATTTATACCATCATTTATTAATTTTTTTCATAGTTTTATCCTCATCATTCAGCCAATACGATGGTTTAAATGTAACATCTTTACAATTGCATCTTGACAAATTAGTTAATGATATTTATCCGAAAGTTGGTATAAACGTCATTGATTGTCGAATAATTCATATCGCAATGAATTATAGTTCAATTCGTCATTGGAATTTAATTAAAAGCTCGTGTATATTTAACAATAATGTATCGCTATTAAACGAACAACAACAAATGAATGTAAAAATTACTTTAAACGAACTTAATACGGCTTTAAGTTATGACAATGAATTTTATCCAATTTATTTAACAAAATTTTGCCGAAATAAATTTATCAATTTAGAAAAAATTCATCATGTTTTACCTATATCCATTCAACGTTTGAAAATTCGTTTTAATGTAGTAGTTAACAACACAGCAGATCACACAATTGAATTGTGGATAACAAATGATGAAATCAACCTGATATCTCGTTCAACGAATCTAAAACAAATTTTGGGTATGATATTAGAAACATTTATCGCAATAATAGAATCATTTTTTACACACCCATAGGATGTAACTCTGAAAAACGATCCTACTAGTTGGTACTTTTAGTAAATGATAATATCTGGATAAACTTCACCATATCATTTACATTTTAGAACAAAATCTGTTTGATGGTGGGGAGAATTTTGTGAAAAAATTGGATTGTAAATATCTGTCAAATGAATGCCAAATGATGAATATGGTCATTGGTGCTATATTTGTTCCCAGCTCATCCTGGTATCAATCGAACAAAAATAATAGTGAACTTTTGAAAATATATGATCTTCCACATCACTTCACCGAAGATCGTTCATTTTCTTTGAATAAAATTTGCTCAACTTATAACCGACAGGCAATTTTTATGAAATCAAATGCATCACTCATTATTGAATGTTCAACTGATTGTACGGATAAAGATGATAGTATTCTAATATATTTCGAATGTGGTACAATTCGATTAGTAATGCCACCATTGATTGTAGATAAAGTTATTCTTTATTCCATTGATCGACCATTAACTTGTCCAACAAATCAAAATTTCACACAAACAATCCTACATTATCTTACAGAATCATCAAAAAGTAATGACTATTTTCATAGACAATTTTCTTATATCAATCATTATGAGTCGATATCACCTGCAACAACAACAACAGAGAAGGGAAAAGAACGTGATTCTTGTTTAACATGTTCGCGTAATATTTATCCTAAAATAAATTTAACATTTTATTTTTTTACAGTGTTAATAAAGAAATATCAATCGAATATCAATGCAAAAACTTATTTTATCGTACCCGATCAATATTTACCAGATAGATATGTTTCTAAACAACAAAATTATTACATAAATTCATCACAGCTCCATTTGAATTTATTAAGACGTCATACAGTTGATTATTATATGACATACAATAAACAGAAAAAATATCGAAAATCTGGTCGAATATTTTTCAATGATTACTTATATATTCAACAATTTGTATCGATCAGAACAGAATTTGGTCAACAATTACATATCGAATATGAGGCAAAAAATACGTTGATACAAATATGTTTAAAGCAAACATGTCAAAAAATATTGTATAGTGACGTATGTTTAAAAGACGGTACTGTACATATCATAGATGGAATATTACCAGTGGAAGACGATCTCGCGAGACATATGAAACTAGATGACGATGATTTTTTCATGCATAATTCGTTTGGTTTAGATACTAACGATCAAGACGTACATAAAAAAGAAAAAATTGCCAAAGCGGTTGACAGAATTGAAAACGAAAAATATGGTGAAATATTGAAATATGTTATGGCACTTATACCGATGGTTATTAATAGTATACTCGTTCTGTTAGTTAACTATTGTTTGAGACCAGATGAAGAAGGTTAACCTCTTTTTCGCTCTTCTTAACAAAATGTGTGCACTCTGTATTTTATATAAAGCTTTTCTTGAGGGGAGAAAAGACAAGCAACGGACTGAAATCATGCGACAGAAAGTTAGTAAGGAAAACTAGCTGTTCGAACTGAAAGCACTTAGAGACTATCTGTATCAATAATATACTGTTAGAAAACTTAGTTCACCTATATCTCAACGGCATGATAATAGAAAAAATTCATCATGGTAAAAGCCGCAAACTAAAATATGCGTGTCCGTTTTAAAGTCGGTGCTCATCTCTACTTCCTGTTACACTTCTGCCTACGTACGTTCTGCCTTCAGACTTTAGTTCAACTCTGTCGGTGACGCTTGAAAAAATCAATTAGAATGCCATATGAAATGAAATACTAAACCATTTCCAAACCGTCGTAAGAGGTCGCATGGAGGATCCGATACTTATTCTGCCTGTCAACATATTTTCAACTTAAAAGCTGTGACGAAACAAAAATTATCGAGCGGTCATTTTCACCTGTACATATATACTTCTTGATAATGGAAGCAATACAAATTATTGAAGGCACAGACTGTTTACTTTAGACGTAGAGGGTGTTGCTATCCATAGATACTGAATTATGGCAACTAGTTTAAAAAAAATTAAAGTGAAGAACTGCAAATAAAAAATTGAACCATTAAAATGCTTGAATTACAACTTAATCGCATCGATTATGCTAAAGTAAGACGTTATCTCATTTTTTACACTTGCTACATAATAACGAATTACTTAGAAGGTAACAATCTAAATCTCACGTACAGTTGTTGCAAGAAAAGCTCACAGTAGGTAGAGTAAGGAACCAAAATCTGTGCATATCAGGCATCATGTCACCGTTTCTGCAATTAAACTTGACTGTGAAATGAAATTTGCCATGTTTGAGCTGTAGTCTGAAAGATCTCACATATTCGTTTTCGTTTTAAGACCATATCATCTGTCACACCGAAATGCATGCGTCTACTATTACGCGACAATCAGAAAAAAGATACACAAAAAGTAAGTAAAATCAACAACTCTTTTTGTGCTACTTAATTTCAATTATCTTCACTATGTTTTCTCTATTCAGATCGTAGTGGGTGAAAGCAATGGAACTGTACAATTATTTTCCATTAAGAAAAAAGAAGCAGCCGTAAGTAGGATTGTACTTCTCTGCGTCTATAGAACACGTTTATAATAAATAACACTTCTTATGTGTTTAGCCTTCGTTCAAAACACCACCAGGGAAACGTATTCGACGTGTAGAATTAGGAGGAAAGCCTGGAGAAGTATCCGATCGTATATTTGTTGCAGCCGATTCCGAAGTACGTGGTTATACTAAAAAAGGAAAACAATTTTATGCATTCGATACAAATGTCGTTGTTCCAATTCAGTCAATGTAAGTTGTAGTTTTTGATAATCAAAATGGATATATTTCAACGACTACTGCATGCTTTAGGAGTATATTTGGCTCAAATCTTTATTCATGTACAGATACCACTTATACGCATTATGTTGAATCGAAAGAAGTTGATACTCTTACACTAACAGCAAAAATAAACGACATTATTATTTTGCCAACAGTCATTCAACCTGTGCCTGTACTCGCCTGTCAAGATCGATTACTTCGCATTATTAACGTAAGTTCTTTATTTTCAATATGTCTTCTGCTTCAGATCGTGTCGATCTTAAACTTCAGAAATCATCAGTCTCATACGAAACCGAATTGCCAGGTATTCCAACCACAATGACTTTATCAAATAAAAATGGAGGTAAATTTTTTTTTATTGTGTTTTTTTCACAGAAGACAGTACAATCAAAATTTTTCTGTGTACTTTTGCAGGACCAACAAAAACTGAACTTATCTATGGTACATCTGATGGTCGTTTAGGACAACTTGAAATAGGAAGGTTCGTAGTTCAAAATCGTCTCATTTTATTCTATCTGATATCACAAATTTGTTTTTAGTTTAAACGCAAGTTCTAAATGGGAAATTGCTAATCCTAAACATCTGTCTGGTAATAGTCATATTCATGTAATAGTCATGAAAACAATTGAGAATAACCGCATGTCACTTTAGCCGTCAGTGCAATTGATTTTTATGATATTATTGGTGATGGTGTGCCGGATATGATTGTGTCAAGAGAAGATGGAGCAATCGAAGTTTATAATTTTGAAACGGCTGCCGATGAACCATTGTTAAAATATTCGTATGTAAGAATAATTTCGCTATCAAAATTTTTATTATTATAGAATTTTTAAATTGATAATAGTGTTTGCTTTAATAATATGTTTATCCTCAATTCTAAATAGAAGAAGAGAAATCATGATTAAACTTCATTTAAATCTAGACTTTTTTAAGAGATGTATTTTTATTTTGTTTTTTTCAGAATGGCTCTGAGAGTATTACAAATATTGAAGGTGGTGTTGTGGGTAACCCAGATTATGAAGAGCTCGTATGTTGTACATATCAAGGTATGTTTTTTGAGTATCAAATTGATTAATACTAATCATAAAATTTTCTGTTATACTCCTCTTTATTTTTTGAGGTTGGTTATTTGGAATGACAAGTGAACCACTACAGAATGAATTAGGTGGAGAAGTAGTATTGGGAAAAGATGATGATTTAAAACAAAAAATTGATGATCTAAAGTGCGTTAAAATACATTTTATTCTCAAACGATTTTACAAAACATCTTTTGATTTTAGGCAGGAAGTAGACGAATTACAACGTCAATTAGCAAAAACACGTGAACGTTATCAAGATACAATAAAACAAAATTCTAAAGCACTATCAACTGTTCGAGAATTTCGAGTCACCGATAGATTTGAATTAAATCGTGATGATGCTACGTATAATCTTGCTCTCGAAAGCGAATTACCTATTGATAATGTTTTATTACAAGTATGTTTAAAACTCATTTTTTTACAAAATTTGTAAAGACAATAATTTTCGGAATTTTCTAGTGTGATGTAATATTAGACATATTGAATGTCGAGAAAAACTCAGCGGTCATGAGTTTTAGTGCTTGTGATCCAAAAGTAAGAAATCGTATTTTTGCTAATATTCTCATATTTATTTAATATTTATTGTAATTGAAGGATAACAATGCTGTTCTTGTCACATATCGTTGTCAAGCAAATACAACTCGTCTTGAAATGCACATACGAACAATCGAAGGTCACTATGGAACATTACAATTGTATATAACATCAAAAATTCAACCAAAATGTTCAATGTTAAAACGACATATTATCAAACCATTATCACTCCATCAACGAAGTAATCAACCTATAGATAATACCAAGTATGTTAAAGAAAAAGAATGAGAGTAAAATGCTGTAGGATTTTTTCTTTACAGAAAAATGAACACAATGAAAATAGTAGGCTCATTCAGTTATGCTGAGGTTCATTCGTGGATTCAATTTTGTTTATCTGATGTACCAGAACGACCACCAGTCGATAAAGAAAATCGTCTCGCATATACAAATATTTTTTTACAAACACAATTAGAATGTATTTATAGGTAAGAATAAACGAAAAGTTTTCGTATCTAAGACAGACATAGGTTAAAAATAGAACTAAAAACTTAAAGCTTTTTAATTTAACATAATAACAATGAAGGTTTCAAACGTCGTAACAGATTGATGAAACAAAACTACTATTTATGCAAACGTTCATAATATGAATACACGTACACAAAATATATTGTCAGCGTATAGATAATGTTATAATTGATGATTGATAATTGGCGTCTTCATAACAAATTTCTGAGCTTGATATTCTTTTAACAGATTGTTTCCATTGACAGAAGTTATCTACGAAAAATGACTGCCGTCAAAATTTGACAAAAAACGACAAAAAATTCGTATTCGTCGAAAATTGCACTTTGATTGACTAAAAGAAACAACGTATTAGTCTGAAGACGAGAGATTGCGCCTCGCCACAAGTTGTATATAGTTTTTTCCATTCTGTCCAATTGTACAAGCGTAAAAAACGGAACAAGTTGGTGTATTTTTTATTTTTAGCGAAGCAGTTTTCAGGACGAAATATTGTGCTTCAAAATACAGTTTCGTGATTTTCCCGATTTTTAAAGAAAAATCTGTGAAAACACCCAAATTAACGGGAAATTGGCCAAACTAATTGCGGTTTTTCATACTCAACTCAATGAAACCAAAACTACAACTTAGTGTGTATTCGCTAAGTCAAAGTTCAAATTGTAAAATTTTTTGACTTTTCGTTTCGTTTCTGCCGGAAAACTCCGGATTCAAATAGAGCGTTAAGATTTTATGTATTTAGGATGATTTTCAGGATATATTTTCGAATCAACTTTATCAGAAAAGGAAAAAATCAAAGCAATTTTTAATATTTTCAGAAGTAGTCGGTAGGCATTTTGAATCCTCCTCTACAGTTTTTAATTCCTGACAGCTGCTTCTTAACCAATGCTTAAATTACCTGCTATTGGCAACTGTTATTGCCAGGTAGCTTCTGTCAACGGATAGTTTCGTAAGACTTTAATTTTGAAGCATACTATAGTTTAAGTCCACGTTATCAAGCGTTAGATACATGACAATGTCACACTATACACAATGTCTTTAATATTTGCTATGTTTTTCTTTTCTTGTTAATAATAATGTCAACTTATTGATAACAGTGTGTCAGGTAGAATAAAAATAATTAAAAAATAGCTACACTTGTATCTATCTCTTTGAAATATTAAATTTAACATGACTAACGGTAAGATATCTACTCAATAATCTAATGAGTATCACAATCAACATTCTTTTGTATTGAATAGTACCGGAAAACATCTTAACAGTAGAGACAAAAACTACGGATGAGATTATTAATTTTTCTAAATGGTCTCAGTATTATAAAAATTTATTATTAAATAATGTGATACCATTTTGGATAAAATATTCTATTGATGAAGAATATGGTGGCTATTTTACATGTATTAATCGTGATGGTCAGGTGTTTGATAAAGATAAATTTATTTGGTTACAAGCTCGACAAGTATGGATGTTTGCTAAACTTTATCAAGATAAAGACATCGATGATAAAAATTTAAAATCAAAATGGTTAGATGTTGCATTACATGGTGCAAATTTTCTAGAAAAATATGGTCGAAATTTACAGAATCAACAATGGTACTTTTCTTTGACACAAGATGGTCAACCACTTATTGAAACATACAACATATTTTCAAGTGTTTTTGCTTCAATGGCATTTGGTCAATTAGCTAAAATTTATTCAGATATAAATGATGATAATGAAAAATTTCAACATTATAAACGTATTGCACTAGATACATTTCATGATATTGAACAACGTCGATCTAATCCAAAAGGTTTATTTGAAAAATCTTGTTTAACATCGCCAAGAAAATTAAAAAGTTTTGCATTACCAATGATGTTATGTAATTTAGCAATGGAATTAGAACATATTATTGATAAAGAGAAAATAGTTGATTTAACAAAACAATGTATCAATGAAATAATAAATGAATTTCGACAAAATGATTCTGGTCTCATATTGGAATATATAAATGCTGATGGTAGTGGACAGTGTGATTCATTTGAAGGACGCTTGATTAATCCTGGACACGGTATAGAAGCCATGTGGTTTTTGTTGGATATTGCTGAACAACAAAACAATAGTGAATTATCAAAAATATGTATTGATACAACATTGAAAATATTAGACTACAGTTGGGATAAACAATATAATGGTATCTATTATTTTCTTGATATCAAGGGTTATCCACCACAACAATTAGAATGGGATCAAAAATTATGGTGGGTACATTTGGAAACATTAATAGCTTTAACAAAAGCCTACGATCATGATCCAACAAATAAACAAATATTAATATGGTTAAACAGAGTTCAAACGTATACACTAAAACATTTTGTTGATGATGAACAGTACGGTGAAATGTTTGGATATTTAAATCGTCGTGGTGAAATATTGTTACCATTGAAAGGAGGAAAATGGAAAGGATGCTATCATGTACCAAGAGCATGTTATCTCTGTTGGAAAGTAATGGATAAAATAAGTAAAAAATCACAATAACAAGAGTAATTGCTTGTTGAACTTTTAACTCTGTAAATGTGATTTTAAAATTAGTAGAAAAAATTTTTGAAAAACTAAATATTATTACTGATTTTTTTCAAGAATAAAAAAAAATAACAAACGTAAAAAAATATAGATGTTTACATATTAATTGTTTCAGATGATGATCTTTTATCGATCTGTTTCACATTGAATTGATTTCATGTTTCATTGTTTTTGTTATAGACAGGAAGAAGCCATATTTCGATCAGAAAATGTGTCAACCATATCTATTCTGAAAGATGTTATTAGTAAAAAAGCAACAGAGAAAAAAATTGTATTGGATATATCATACGGTATGATTAAATTGAATATTATAACTTTTTTTCTGCTTAACAATCTTTTTCTAAAATAGGAGTACAGTAGGATTAATCACTGATTAAGCGGGCTACTTTTTCCTCTTTCCATGATCGTGGCATTCCTGCGCAATATTAGATGTTTCATTTTTAAAAAAAAATTGCCAATAAACATAAACATTTCAAGATGAAATAACTATTAGTTTATTGTTTTTCTTTTTTTTCTCTAATTAAATATGTTTTCGTTAATTTAGATATTAGCAATGACACAATTGCCTACACATTACGTTGTATGCTGCCAAAAATCGCTTATTATAAAACTCTCACAGATAAATACAACCTAATTGAACCACTAAAGGTTGAATAATTGAATAATTATTCTAATTGACTATAAAAGTTATTTTTTTATTATTTAGGAACTCGTAATGGATAATTCTGATTCAAATATCTTGACTCCCGAACATCAAGAAGTTTTAGATAATGCTGATAGATATAGTGAACAATATAAACTAACACCAGTTCATCTAAACCGATTATGCAGTAAATTTATAGACATAAAAGAAAACTATATTTTCTCCTTTATCTTTCTTTTTTTTCACAGGTATGGTGGCTGATCTCTATATTGATAAACACAAATTTAAAGGTGTCAATGTTAAAGCTAAATTGCCTGCATTATTCGAAAAATTAAATCAAACATTCTCAAATCCAGAGAGTTTTGTAGAATTTTTTAATGCCTTTTAAAATATTTTTGTTCCTGTGTTTCGTTTTGTAAAATAAAACAATTTGATAGTTGTTATCTATACGCAATTAGTATGACATGTACAAACGACTCTCTTTGAATCTCTTTTTCTCTCGGAAAATTTACAAAATAAAGTTACAATAAAACAATTTTCACTAAAAACAAAACATCATAATTGTTTAGAAACGATTTGTTATGATATTCCAACTAGTGTACTGCCGGGTACTTGTGATATATCACTTTTTTCTCTGTGTGAATAAGGTAATGATTGTGATGGTATTAGTTTCTGATAATTTGAAGCACTTGCTGCTAAATGTTCAGTGCCTTTCGATTCAAAAAATGTGTACGATAATGTAATGTCATGTTGACCTTGTAAACCAGGATCTTGAATATAGTCGGGATCAATATAGAAGAAAACAGGCATATCGACTTCTTCATCTGCTTCCAAACGTTGTTCTTCAAAACAAAAACATTGTATTTTATTAAAATAGAATGCCGCTTGTGATGGTTGTACATTGTACGTAGCTATACCAATAATAGGACGATTACTTTCATTTTTAGCACGATAAAATGCTAAAGCTGTTTCACCTGGTTGCAAATAAATTTCACTTTGCTCTGGCCGAAATGTCCATGGTAATAAGGATGATGGTGTTGATTCAAAATGAATACGTAGTATAGGATTTTCTTTTTTAAAACGATCTTTTAGTTTTCGAACATTGTTCGATATAAATTCAGCATCTTGATTTGATCTCACAATACCATCAAAACCGGTCCTTTCACAAAATATTTTATACAATGGTACAGATGCATAGGTTAGACCAATCATAAGAACAGCCATAGACATCATATAATATCCAATATTTGCACGATGATTCTTAGTTTTTTTATCGTATGATTTAAATGATTGTTCAAAATCAGCATTACTCTGTTTCTTATCATTGGATAAACAACGTTTAACAACAAATGATATTTGATATTTCAATACCGTTTGCCTGTTTGATGATAAATATCGGGTCAAAGATGAACTATTTAGTAAAACTGAGTGAGGAGACGATGGAGTAATCTTACTTATTGAATTATGATTTATTATATGATTTAGACGTTTAATAACAACATTTGTTGATAAATGTGTTCGAAAAATAAATTGGCGATAAATAATAAAGTTCATAGTTCTTGTCGTTCACCTAGCATAATATCCTATCTGAAATGAACGCAACGAACACAACTTAGCGGGTGCACTAGAAACAAAAAAAAGGACAATTACGTAGCTTCATGTTAAAGAATAAACACAGATCACCACCTTGCGAGTAGACGGAACCTATACACCTTAAATATCTCTCGACCACATTTGAGTTAAATAAACCGGTCCAATTATAATGTTTAATTTAAATTCGAAGATCTTTCGTAGGAAGTGATGAAATTTTTACGCAATATGCGTCAAGTAAAGAAAGCAGAATTTACTACTCAATCACTTCAGATTAAAAAGCATTCAAGGCTGATTATAACTTCGTTCTTCCAAGACAAAACAGCAGACAGCTTGGTAAATGATTTTAACAACATCATACTGCAAAAATAAATATTTTTGTCCTGAAATTTGTCGCATAACAAATCATTTTTCTTTATATTTGGATAATTTTATACAACAAAAATGAATCTGATGTTTATTTTTAAATTTTATGTTGTCCTTTTTTGTTTATTTTGTTTACATTAACAAAAACAACGGTAGGTAACAATTTAACATAAAAAATTGACAAAAGATGAAACATTCTTGAACTAAAGTAGTGAAACATTCATCTTTATTTTTCTTTTTTCGGTTTCTTCTCATCTTCGGCAGCTTGTTTCGCTTTCTTTTCACGTATTCCAATGAGTTTTGCATCAGCGCGTGCCATACGCAATGATTGAAATACTTTAAATTTCTTATCATCATCACCAATTGGACGAGGTTTTTCACGTATATAACGATTTTTAACTGGCATTACTTTTGTTTTTATTTGCGTTGGATATATCGGGGCCGTTCCTGATGCCACCTTAGTCTCATGCTCCTTCGGTTTATCCTTGTTCAATGGATACAAAATCAATTTACCAAGATATTGTTTGAGACGTTGGACATTTACCTAGATCAACAACAAAAAAAACATATACATTACAATCTAAAGGGTTTAAGCATTTTGAACGTTAAGAGTTGTATACGATAGATACCGATGCATATCGTGCTATATTTAGTTTTTCATCGCACTCTAAATTTATTATGTTGATCACATTTTGACATATACCGAGTCAAATGTCCGTCTTCAAAGGTCAGTTTATATAGGGGTCGCTTTCATTTTTTGTTCAGAATTCGACTTTCCCTCAGAGGTTAAGTATATAAAAAAACAGAAAGAGAGTCCCTCAGAGGTTAAGTATAAAAATTACGGTAGATCGTAATAGATTCGAATATTGTCAGAAAAATGGGTTTTATTCGAAAATATGAGTTGTCAATAAAAAGAAAATTGTCGCTCAACATTTTAGGACCCGATAGAGATATACGATGGAAATATTGTCAACACCTCACTTACTAGAAACTATGAAAAGATCATAAAACAGACGTGATTTATTAGCGTTATCTCGTAAACTTGGAAGATGAGAGATGGTAGACAAGGACCTATTATGTGTACTGTGCCTTTTTAAACAATCGCAAGAAAAATGATGACTTATTTAGAATATGAGAACAAAATTTTGTTCAGTTAGATGGCATAAAACTAGTGGAACAGTAGAACGTTCCCTCCATTTTGCTATGCATCAATTGAGAACCAGATTGATAAAGATGTATATTTTGATGATTGCGACGCTATTGCATTAGTAAATATTCGAATATTACTTTTTGAAGAATCTCGTTTAAAAAAACATGGTGTAGATGATAAATATCGGATTTTACTGAGAACCAGACCATACGAAGAGAAACTAAATACAGCACAACACAATGCAAATAAGAAAGGAACTTCAACCCGCCAAAATAATACTCACTAAAATTTACTCAGACTATAGCTTATGCTGAAAATATCGTAAGAAAAATTAGGAGTTTAAGCATCCTTACTTGAAATGCATCTGTTGTTTTATTTCTTCGTCTATGATCAACAGCAATACCAATTGTTCGGGCATATTTTGGATTTAAACCAGCAGCACGTACTTCATCTAATGAAAATCCACGTCCAGCTCGAACTCTCATATTATAACGAACTGTCTGACATCTGACGACTGGTCTCAATGGTCCTTTTGCTGGTCGTGGTGCAACTCTCTTGGCTTTTTGTAAACGTTTCTTATGACGACGCTCTTTTCGCGCGGGTTGATCGAACCATGTACGTACGTGTAATTGCCATTTTTTATGAAAATGTCCGTTTGGTATTTGATTATTATGTTTCATATTTGTTGTTTTTTATAATCAACAAAATTCCAATGGAAAGATCTAAAAATAATATTAGCAGGAATAATATCTCAGTTTGACTGCATTAACGAGTACAAAAGCTCTTTATCTGCATTTACAAAAATAATACGTCTCCGAGCTGCAAGTTAAAGTAGTGATATTTCTAAACAATGAATTTTTACGATAATTCGATGAATGAAGCTAACGTGTGACTTTAATTGCATCAGAATATAGCTTGCAATTTGAAGTTTTGCAACATAAAATGGTTCAGATTATTCTCCAAAACATCATTTGCAATTAAAATTTAAATGAAAAAGAAAAAGAAAAATCTCTCAAAGCAGATTAAGCAAATAACTGCATCGGTTTCAAAATGAAAGGACCGTGTAGAAGCTGAAATTAAATATATAACCTACAAAAAGAATCTGAACTTTTAACATCGTAAATGATGTAAAAATTTCCTTATTAATAGACAAATTCTGTTCTAATACAAAGTCCTCAGATCTCATAATCGATTTCATTAGAGCCAAATGCAAACGATATCTTTGCAACAGAATGTATTCATTTTAAAAATGCTTCTATTAAAAATATTTTTAAAATTAATACGGAATTTTGTATTTGAAAATAATTTTGTCGTATTTTGCAAAAAAGTCTCAACATCTCAATGTTATATATAAATATTGTTGTAAATATATCGTTCATACTCTTCAAATCTTGTTATCATCATTGGACTATAACAATGGAACTTGAATAAACCTAGAATAAGTAGAAGCCTTTATTTTCTTTAGTCTCTCAATATTGTGAAACTCATAAAAAAAACTCATAAAAAAATACTTGAATCGATGAGCATCTGTATCAGAGTTGAAGCTGTCTTACATGGTGTAATTCAGGCTAATCTGTTTATAACCATCATTTACGAAAGTTCATCGATCATCCTTGAAGTTGGGTTCGAAAACACGCATC